GTAGGAACTGCAGGGAGCAGAGGCACTGGCGTAGCACAGCCACGGCAATCAGCAACTCTGATGTAAGAATAAGCATTGGAACAGCCTGCGCCAGTCCTCCAGCTGTTTTCGACTACAACTCCCACCAGCGCCAACTTCTCTGGAGAGCGACGGGTTGGGGAAAGCTGCTTTATAGCAAACGGGAGTCAGATGCAATAAAGGCATGCCTTTAGGGAGGGGAACAAAAATAGTTTTCAGAACTAACTGGCCCTGCGTTACCAGAAGATACATAGGATTGTTTATCTTGCACTCTTTAATGCCATTCATTATGTCACAGAAACATGATCGATGGGGTCTCATCTGCCTCCTTTCCACAGCCCTAATCTCTTTACTTTTTCCACAGTGGGACGTATTTAACCTCTTCTAATCATTCATCTTGCCTATCTCCAGAACATTTGCTCATGCTCTGTTTTTAACCAGATTAAGACAGAGCATCCTCACTTTCAGGCCACCTTTATGTGACATCGAATCATGCTGCTAAAATTGTCGGTGGGCAAAGTGATAAATGTGGCACCATTTCCTCAGGTTCCTAGCAAGCAAGCAAGCAAGCAAGCCAAATAGGTGTGTGGCCGCAAGTACCCTAAGAGCAACACATCTCTTACAGAGTAGAATATTTTTCAAAGTAGAAACTGGGTAGGTTACATTTGACTGAAGGGATGTAAAACGTCGGGGTGGGGGGCATTTAAATTAGACCAAGGGGTCATCCAGCCTAGCATTTAATTCCAGATGCCCCTAAGAAGCTTACAAGCAGAGATGTTCAAGGTGCAAGCAGCCCAGGTGAATTCTTGGGATGGGCCACATTTTTAAGGCTTCAGCACACGATCAGTGTGGGACCCCAAAGCCCTGGGAATGACCCAATGCAGTGCAGAGATGGACTATATGACAGAAGAACACCACGGGGGTACAACCAAAAGAGTCTCTGTTCCAAGAGATCTCAGAAGAGCTGGTTCAAAGAACATGGGTGAACTATCGGCTGGTTCAGACTATGGAATACCAACTACTGAAGTAGCCGCATTTTACCAGCACAACTTCCTGGCAGTGGTTATCAGGAATATAGAAGCACTTTCATTGCCACCACTCCAGCTACCATACAGAGTGGGGAGGAGAGACTGCGCAGAGGGTCTTCCAGCATTGGAACCCTTATAGGACTGCTGTGAGGGATTTTGACGGCCAAGTTGCTCACATTCACCATGAACTACTACGTTGCGGTCTGCACAGATCTGGAAGAGGGGTCCAGAGTGCCATCTGGCCAGTTTGGGCTGCTGTCATCTGGGAATGAGATGTTTGAAGGGGCATTGCCTAGACCCTTGCCTATTGCAGCCAATCAAAACTAGCCCGACAGGGTGGCCCGTGTTTCTTTGTGATGTCTCAAATGGGGTCATGATGAGGCTCCCGCCTCAAGACGCCCCACTTGGACCCACGGTTTGTGATAACTACCACCCAGTAACAAATATGTCATTCTTAGGCAAGGTGCTTGAGATACTGCGGGATGTTCAACTTCAGATGTTCTGGGAGGAAGCAGATTATCTAGACTCATTTCAGTTAAGGTGTTGGCGTCACCTTACAAGCACTAAATGACTTCGGCCCCAGATACCTGAAGTAGCTTCTTTTCCTAAATCAGCCTGGTTAAGATCTGTAGGAGGACCCTCTTGGTAATCGCTCCACTGAGTCAAACTATGGTGGCCCAGGAAAGATCCGTTTCAGCAGCCTCGGAAGTACAACTCCCTCCCCTCTGCATCAGCACTCAGGCTGCCATCATCTGTTTTTTGACAGCAGATGAAAACCCATCTGTGCATCTCGGTTCTCATGGGGATCTGATATCATTGTTAGGATGATATGACAGTACTGCTGCTGCCAGTTGTTTAGATATGTTTCTTGCTCTTAAATTGTTTTAAATAATAATAATAAATCTTACGAGACCTATTATGTAACCTGTCTTTGGGGTCACTGAATAATAAAGGGCAGGAAGAAGAAGAAGAAGAGTTTGGATTGGATATCCCGCCTTTCACTCCCTTTAAGGAGTCTCAAAGCGGCTAACATTCTCCTTTCCCTTCCTCCCCCACAGCAAACACTCTGTGAGGTGAGTGGGGCTGAGAGACTTCAGAGAAGTGTGACTGGCCCAAGGTCACCCAGCAGCTGCATGTGGAGGAGCGGAGACACGAACCCGGTTCACCAGATTACGAGTCTACCGCTCTTAACCACTACACCACACTGGCTCTCAATATAAATATATATATACAAGGTAGGATATACCTAATATATATAGGATATATATAGTAGGATATAAACTACTATAATAAACAAGCAAACAAACAAACAAACAAACATTTCAAGAAGATTCCAGAGGTGTGGTCCACAGGAGATGTGAACTTGTTGAAAGACCAGAACTCCTTTCATAATGGCAAATATCTAATTTCATATTTTTTTTTTTATTGTAAGAAGGCTAGGATGGTTTATGCACTCCATCCTGACTCCAAACTGCACTAATGTTTGGATCTCCAGTATGCTTTAGATACGAAACATGCCTATGTACACATGCTTCAACATCAGGTATAAAACTGGATACCAATCAACACACAGATGGGTGGGGTATAAATAATAAATTATTATTATTATTATTATTATTTTCTGGCATTCTTCCTGCAGAGGGCAGGTTGGACAATTCTTCACATTGTGATTATCAGCTATGATGCCATTTGCAAGAAGGGTATTCCGCAGAATCTGGGTTTCCCCAGGAAAAGCAGAAAGAGAACGGGAAAACCACCATGGTGAAATAAGTTATGAATCCCCAGACAGAAATGTGACCAGGAACGGAGCCAAAAGAGAGCAGGAACCCAGATAAGATGATTTAATAAGACAGCCAGCATAAGCCTTAGACTCTCTCAGAACGGCTAAGGCCTCAGGTGTGGTAACAATGGCAAGCTGGCAGGAATATGATCACCTAGGAACAGCGCTTCCCCTGTACCTCTGCAGGAGGGCTGTGGATGAAAACATCACATCTGTGAATGACAAGCTCTTTTAACCCCAGAGAGAGGAGTATTAATTCATTAGTCAAATTAGGAGGCTAGCTATGACAGACATAACAATATTGGTGGTTTTGAAAGCAAGAAGGAGCCTTTCCTTTTAAAAGGACAGTCAGGGGAGCACTGAACACAAAGAGCTGGAGCTGCTACCGAAAGGTCAGCCAGCAGAAGACGGAAAGCTACACGGTGTACAAAATTATGATATTGTTCCCATTTATTTCTTTTTATGAAAGAAATCCTACAAAGCGTTCCCATAAAAAGTGCACAAAGTGTGCTACACAATCAGCAATGAATTCTCTAGCATAAAAACAAAAATGTAATTGCAAAAATGCAGTTGGCAACAAGATTAATATTGAAATCGTGCCGCTAGAATCATAAAGCCTCCAAAATCCATATAGACATAATCCACACATTTAAGTTTCATTTGAAAGCAAGAGAGTTTTAAACATTCCCTATGTACTTACTGGGTTGTGGCCAGGGATGGGGGGGAAATTAGGTTTCGTTCATATTTAAATTTGAGCCTTCCTAATTTGCACTTCCCAGAATATTATGTGAACTGAAACAAAGCCATCCTTCAAAATTTTCACTTGTTCAAAGTAATTTGTAATTCAGCCTCTCCAGTCAAATAATGTGTACAAACATACTAAAATACAGTGTGCAAAATAATGTGTGTATTAGTGAAAACAGCATACAAAAAATGTATTATATTGGGGGATTTTGCTCTGTAAAAATGTGCATATTAGGAGAAATTTGCACTAAAATGCTGATGAATTTTTATGCATACCTAAAAATATCACAAAATTGATGTGGATAACCTAAGAATAGAAACAGGAGAAACTGAAGCTGACAGATTCATCCATACCTAATTGTGACCATACTGTATTTGGAATTAGGAATTGTTTTCACCAAGCACCTTAAACCAGGTAGAGATATGGAGCCAGGCAAGCCTGAAGGAAAGAATTCCCCAATTTTGACCTCTCTCCTTCAATACACTGTCCTTGGTACTCAACAAATGGATCTCACAAGGTAGAAGAACCCTGAACATGGTCTGCTGAAATAACCAAGAAGTCCAGGGAAGATCTTAAGACAGCCTTTCCTAAGGGATGAAAGGAGCTCAGGATATATTGCCATTATCTATCCAGGTTTATCTACAGAGGGTGGGGGAACTTGTGAGTCTTCAGATGTTGTTGAGACTCCCAACTCTCATCTGTCCCAGCCAGCATGGCCAAAGGACCACAAGTTCCCCACTTCTGATTTACAACCTTGGTTTATTTCCTAGTGATTTGTGGCATGATCACTCATTGCCATTTGTTTTTCTGTGTGTTTCTTCCATTGTCTATTCTTAGCTAATCCACTCTTGGGGTTTTGTTTTCCTTTTTTTTTTGTCTGGTTCACTGACTCATCCTCATCCCCAGTAAATCTTTGCAAGAAGTTGACCGGCAAAATCTTTTTGAAAATACAATGGTACCTCGGGTTACCAACGCTTCAGGTTACAGACTCTGCTAACCCAGAAATAGTACCTCGGGTTAAGAACTTTGCTTCAGGATGAGAACACAAACTGCACAGCAGCAACAGGAAGCCTCATTAGCTAAAGTGGTACCTCACATTAAGAACAGTTTCAGGTTAAGAACGGACCAAGAACGAATTAAGTTCTTAACCCGAGGCACCACTGTATATGAAACAAAAAGACGTCCAGATACATCTTTGTCCACCAGGTATCTGAAGGTCATTTGAATTAACCAAGACAGTCAGTCATGACCTTTACTATGAATTCTCAGCCTTTGCAAATGTACATTTTTTTTAAAGTAAAATAAAATCATAGGCAAGGACTCCAATGTGGTTGTTATAAGCTTTAAATATCACTCAAAGTATATTTTTTAAAGGAAACTATAATATTAAACGCAACAGATGGCGAAGAGCACCTTGCGAGGTGGATGATGCAGGCAGAGTCATCGTTGTGCTCCTAGAGTGCTCCCTTCCTCATCTGCTGTTGCCACGTGGGAGCCACACAACACCCTCCTTAGGCAGGGCTTGAGCTTTTTCGAAAGATTTGCATGGACTGTGTGGGTGGAAATATAAGAACAACATATGGTAGTCTAACTTAGCTGCTGCACGTACATAGCAAGTGATCATAAACTTATGTTCCAGCAATAGCTGGTAACTTGATACCAGATTAACGGACAGTTTTGTCTTCCCCAGTCATAGACGGTGTGCTTAGACATGGTGATGGCGTTGGTGGATCAGGGAAGAGCACGTCAACACTGTCCAGTTCGAGAACTATGGGTATCTGTGATGTGCTTTTCGCTGTGCTTACATTGTGTCTTTAGTATGTGCAAAACCAGTTAAATGTGAGACTTGTGTCTACATTTGCGTTGCTGCAGTAGCAAAGTCCCGAGAAGGTGGGGAAATGTCACTAAATTCATTAATGGTATTTCGGGTCTGTTATAATAAGGCAGTCTTTTTGTTGTACGCTGCCTTGACAAGACAGCATAGGTCAGGAATCAGAGATGTGTTTTCTTGAACAAAATGTTATGTTACAGGATCACTATCACACTCTTACGAATGATATGCAATGTAGTTAAGAATACAGTGGTACCTCGGGTTAAGTACTTAATTCGTTCCGGAGGTCCGTTCTTCCTGAAACTGTTCTTAACCTGAAGCACTACTTTAGCTAATGGGGACTCTTGCTGCCGCCGCGCCACCAGAGCACGATTTCTGTTCTCATCCTGAAGCAAAGTTCTTAACCTGAAGCACTATTTCTGGGTTAGCAGAGTCTGTAACCTGAAGCGTATGTAACTTGAAGCATATGTGTAATAAATATAGGGGTTGCTCGTGCGTAAGTTGCCGCCACTCCTGGCTAGGTTGCCTTGTTAAACCTTTTCTGTCTGGACAGCCCTTCACTTCGTGGCTGTTTCAGTCACTAGCAGAATCCGTCAGTGGGCGTTTCTTAAACCTTTTCCAGCATAAAAGCTGTTTGACACCAAGTCGCTTCCTACTCTCCCTGCGCGGAAGTCTTCTGCGCAGGGAGAGTGTGGGTAGCGGAGGACCCGTGCTCTCCCCGCTGGTCTCCGGCGAGGAGTCCTGGAGCCCCCTCGCCGATTCCCCCATCTCCCTGGTGTTACGCTGATTTCCTTCCCCAGCTGATGAGCTGCCTCTCTCCCTGCTGGGCCCCTCTCCAGCATCGCGTGGGAGCCCTGCCTCCGCCTCTAGCTCCAATGTCAGTTCCCTGACAGTATGTAACCCGAGGTACCACTGTATTCACAACCGCTTCAATGGCCTTAAATGTGCTTAACTCTAGTTGGACTGTGGCCACAGCCGAACGCCACCTGTGGCAAGAACGCCTTACTGAATAATCTCATGAATGTTTACTCAGGAGTAGCTCATAGGATTGGAACCTTAACAGATCTAGTAGCTGTTCATAAGGGACCGTTCTATTTTGTATAGGAAAGGCAGGTTTTGGACAGAACTAGTTCACCATACAGTGAAATATAATAGGTTCCTGGCTGTTCTGAACTGCAATGAGCTCCCAGGAGAACCAGAACGCTTTAAAAAAATGTAGCTAGAAAGTTTGAGAAGTAGGAAGAAAATGCATCCTTAAAAGCCCTTCGTTCATTTGGTGCTGAGGAACAACTTGCCCTGCCCAGCATTTTGAAGATGAAGACCAAAAGTGCACAAATGTCAGTCCCAAAAGGAGCACCCCAAAGGAGGGACCTTGTTTCCCTCTCCTACTCTAACCACCAAAGTGCATACCTATCATGCCAACAGGCGGTTTTAGAGACTTCACACACACACACACACACACACACATTGCCAGAGCCAGACCCACCAACCCACGTTCCTATGCAGGTAAGCTACGAACTCCCACTGTTACTTGGGTAGCCACACCTCTGGCCCACCAACAATGGTGTAGCCCGGGAGGCAGGGACCTTTCTCAGCCTGAGGGCTGCATCGCCTTATTGGCCTGGACAGGCAAAAGGGGGGCGATCCCAATCCAAATACCTTTATTGTACTAGCCATTGGTCATGACAAATCTGAATCAAAAATAAATACAAGTAAAAGGGGTGCAACGCCACAAATAATGGTCTCTATTTAGATCTCTGCGTCTCCCTTAACAGTTCACTGCCATATTGTGTCCAGGGCCTTCTTTCTGATCTTTTTGGCCGCCAAAGCAAAATGGGAGACTTTATGAATCACTGAAGTGTTTACATGGCTAAATAGTCATAGGACCTTTTCTGCCGGGGAGAGACATCTTTCCTGTACGGATGGCAAGGCGAGAAATCGCCTTCCGGGTCCAATGTATAGTGGGGCAACATAGTAAATAGTGCAAGATGTCGTCCACTTGTGGTTGCCCACATAGACAAGAGTCTGCAAAAGGGGGCAAGAACAGAGGCAAAATTGTAACGGTGAACCTTGCCCTTTAGGCAGGAGGCTGCATTCCAACCACACAGAAGTCATAGGATTCTGCACACACAGAGACACCCATGCGCCCATTTCTCTCTGAGTTATATCCAGACAAGCAAGGCTGGCAAACGCACTTGAGGAGGGTGTGGAGTGGCACTGTTGAGGGTGTATGGCCTGGGGAAACTCCTGAATGCCAGATAAAGATGCCTAGTAGGCCATGTTTGACCAACTGCCCCCGCCCCAGCATAGATAGTTGGGAACCATGATGTCCTCTTTCCTTAATATCTTGGGCAATTGTGGCCACCACATCCTTGGCTGTACTTGTCCAGAGGCCTAGGCTGCTAATTCCTCCCTCTCCTCTCTGCCTCCCCACAAGAATACATCATCTCCTCTGTGCCTGGTGATTAGGTCAGTCCATGTCGAATGCTTGAAGTATTCAGGCCAATTAACACTCTTTCTGGGTGACCAGTATTGCCGATCGATTAAGCTGCTCCCGCCTGCTGTGAGCTCTCGCTGCTGCAAAGACAAGAGCCTGGCCCCAGATGCCACGTCAAACGAGAATTAACGAAAAGCTGGTGGAGACTGACAGCTCAAAAGCTTTTGACTTCTGGAAGCCACCCGAGAAGGCTTTGCCGGGTTCATTACACCCTCAGAGCTCAGGAAAGAAACAACATCTGTCACTAAAGTGTGAAGTTACCACAAAAAAAGCACCCACCCTAATATATTCCACGAGCTTAATACGCAGACAGCAATTTAATAAAGCAAAAACCCAAAACCAAGAGCTCCTCTGCTCTGATGGTCTGTACCCTCCAGGGAGACGGCAGTTTCATACACTTCTTGAGACGCTCTTCAAAATGGTGCATTAAATACTCCATATTTTCCTGGTGGATTATAGCACAATCTTGTTTATCCAAATGCCTTTGGAACTATATCTGTGGTTTAGTTAATCTCGCTTCCCATTGCATTACTTATTTTTGGACTGCATATATTTGGGTGACTGCCAATCTGCCTCTCTTCAACCTGATCATAGGACATTATGCACAACGCAACATGATCCCTGAATTGGTCCATATTTGGCAGGGCTAGTGCATTATGGTCTGCTTTTTGACATGGGGGAGTATATAAGTATCACAAGAGAGGGAGAATAAAAATGCACCTGTATTTTGAATCTCTCCCAAATTCCCCACTTGAATGCAGGGTCTGAGAGAAGCAGTTCCTTCTGCATGGGGGGTAGGCAAACCATCTTTACTCTAATAATGCTTCACACTGGCACATAAGACTAAAGAGAAGGAATTTTCTACAGCTCCATGCTCTATCAACCTCTTGCCCTCTCCTAGGGACAGGGGGAGAAATTCAATTCAGTTCACATTTAAAGATGAATTTACCTAATTTGTGCTTTCCCAAGCAATACGCACAGTTCTCTGAATTTTGCAGCAGGATTTTCTATCCAGTTAATGTGTATGGAAGTGTATCTACTTGAGGAAAGTGTGTGTATATTGGCAAACACACAAAAATGTGTTCTATCTGGCAAAATTGCTTGGCAGAAATGTGCATATTAGGCAAAAACGCATTCAAAAATGAGTTTTTTAGGAGAAATTCAAGCTAAACTACTGATGAATTCTCGTGATCGCAAACGGATGTGGCAATGTGTTGATGTGAACTGAGCTTAAGATTGGAAAAAACTGGAAACGGAGCAAAATTTACAAAAGCTGGTCCATTCCATACTGCCTTCGCCTCCATGGCAACGGGTTTAGCAGGTAGCCCACCCACCCCCCATTCTCCTACCAATCATCTTTAGCCTCTAGGGCCACTATTTCATTCCACCTCACCTGACTGGTTAACAGCCAAGTTCCTGAGCAGTCCCACAGCAGATCATTTGCATACATTTAAATAAGCACGGTCCCATGTTTTACCCAAACTTCGCCTGTGTCCCGCCGCTTTATCTCATGGTCTCAGTCACAATTCATGGCCAGGGTCACCAGCTCCCTCCGGCCACCCCTGGTCTTGAGCCAGATTTCACCAAGTGATCGTCAGTTGCTGACCCCCATGGTAAAAGATACTTCTCCCACATCCACATCCCTGCAAATTGATTATTATAAACCAGTTTCTCCTTACAGCTTCAAGGTGTTGTACACACTTTCAACTCACCCAACAGTATGTTAGTGGCTCAGGCAACAATGAATCTAGCAATAAAATGGCCATCTCTAGAGCTTGTAAATCTAATTGGACATTCTTGCTCCCAGGCACCCCTCAGTTAAGCACAACTATCAAGAACACAACACAGCAAATATAATTGCATTGTCCCATTACTCTGTCTTACTTTACTGTCTTGCCCATTAATCTTTTCAGGGTGCCTGGTTTTCTCGGCTACTACCAGTTGATCAACCAAGAGCCGCTGAGCGTTCTGCAGAAGGAGGGGGCAAGGGGAGGAAGAATAAATTTGGGAAGTAGTAACTTTGAAACATGGCCTTGATTAACATTCTATTGCGGCTAATCTGTTTTATCAATCCCTTAATACAAGGAATCAATGGTTACACACAGCAAAGCAAATGAGTTTCTCAGAGGGAAGAGAAGGGGAGGGAATCCATAAAATGAAGACTTCAAGTCTTAAAAGCTGCAAATTAAAAACAATGAGTGCCACTAAACTTTTATTCAAGGTGAAAATTGCCGGTGTCTTAAGCCTCATGCGCAGCTGGGAGCTCTGTCAAAGTTGCAAGCGACAAGATTTTTGAGAGCCACAACTAAGTGCCATAATGATACACCACCTACTGTTAATAGTCTGCTGCATCTACAGTTTAAGTTTACTAGCACTGACACAAATGCAGAGGTGGGTGGGTGTGTATTCTGTAGTACAGATGCTTCACCCTACAAAAATATCAAGGAAATATAGCAGACTTAGCAGAAATTCTAATGGCTCTCTTTAACTAGGATGGCTTTAGTGCAGGGGAGGAAAGCCTCAGGTTCAGCCAAAATGCGACCCTCCAACCTCTCTACCTGGCCCTTGGAACTCGCCACACGCCCACAGTCTCCAGTACACACCTCTCATTGGTCCTGCTCCACATGCTGCTCAGATGCTTTTGCCTGGCTAGAATTTACAGTGGTACCTCGGGTTAAGAACTTAATTTGTTCTGGAGGTCCATTCTCAACCTGGAACTGTTCTTAACCCGAGACACCACTTTAGCTAATGGGGCCTCCCGCTGCCGCCGCACGATTTCTGTTCTTATCCTGAAGCAAAGTTCTTAACCTGAGGTACTATTTCTGGGTTAGCCGAGTCTGTAACCTGAAGCGTCTGTAACCCGAGGTGCCACTGTATTCTTAAAAACTGGTGGTGCCTTTGCTTGCCTGGGTGGAGGATGGAAATATGGATATAGATAGAAACCTCTGACTTTGGCCACAGCTGGAGTATAGCCCCCTGTCCAAAGGGAAGAGCCACATCTGTTGCTCTGCCCACTTTTGCTTCTGACCTTGCCCAACTTTTTGCCTCTAGCCTTGCCCACTGCTGGCATGAAGCCCCCAGAAGGCTGCCCACAAAGGCATGCCACCACCAAGGCTATGCAAACCACGGTTTCCTGAGCGTATCTTCTGTACTAGTAGTGAACTCATCTTCCAGGCATTTATGCTCTTCCTAGTGTTACTGCTTTAAGGCAGTGTTTCCCAAACTTGAGTCTCCAGCTATTTTTGGACTACAACTCCCATCACTCCCTAGCTAGCAGGACTAGTGGTCAGGGATGATGGGAACTACAGTTCAAAAACTGCTGGAGATCCAAGTTTGGGAAACACTGCTTTAAGGGTACATTAGTTTTGCATGCCATGTGTCTTTATTATGTTGTATGCATTGTGTTTTCTTTTATATTGTACCCTGTTCTGAAATCAAATAGAATGAAAAGTAGGCTGGTACTGCCTCAAATAAATAAATATCCTCCTGCCACAAAAAAATACATTAAAGGGCACATGGTTGTGGGGGGGGGGCAAGGTTTGCAGAAGCCTCCCGCAAAATGTTAGGGGGGAAAAAACTATCCTAAGGAAAGGGGAAAACCCCCCAACAATCCATGCTAAGCATGCTTAATGGACATGGAATGATGAAATGGGAGGGGATCAGAAAAATGGGGAAGCAGGAATGGAATGGAGTATGCTACAAAGGGGCATGCTCAACTGGCTGGCTGGCTGACCCCCTGAACAGGAGCACTCCACACATCAACATCTGGACATAACCATGTATCCCATTGGGTTTTTGAGCTGCATTTTATGTAGCCCCAAGATGCTGTGATAGATTATTTGGGAGTTCCGCAACAAAGGAGACTGGTGGCGGCACAAAGCAATATGGTTACAGAACTATTTATCTCTCTCTGGAACCGTATGGTCTTAGTGTTTATTGAAGGCAACAGCACAGAGAAAGTTCCCTGCAGTCTGTCCAGCGTTTTCCTAGCCGAGAGAAAAAGGTTCTGAGGTGCTTTATGCGCACGCCAGAAAGTGGAGCCAGCAGCAGCAGAGGGTTAGTGAAGGGTCAATCTATCCCTGATGGACGCATTATTTTGAGCCCCCTGAGCTACTCATGGCAGCTTTGGGCATGGATGTGGGCAAAACAAGAAGCAGACACATACAGCTCCATGCAAAGAGAGATGCAGAAGGAGTCTATCAGAAGTGCACGCACCTAAGAGTGGACAGACTGGTCTATTTCTGTTTCATTTTGTGTCTCATATTTCCCTGTCAATAATCCGTTCCATCTTGATTCTGCATCAAACAGTGGAGGGTTTAAATGAACAAAAAATTAACTACGAAATGAAACCAAATATTCACATTTTCATTGTATTTTGCAGTCTTTGGGGCTGCGTTTTGAATGCATTTTGGTTATATTTTATGCATTTTGTACATTCTAATTATTGAAATGATAACCACATCACATCTGATGGTTGCATTATATTGCAAGCTGTGGTCCAGGAATTGTAACCCCCGCTGCATAAGGGGGAGGAAGGACACCTGTAATTCATATTCATGAATTAAACAATGAAGGCTCTGGAAACCCACCATATGTCCCATAAACTCTTAAACCATGGCAGGGATGGAGAAGCTGTGCCCCCCCAAGGTATTCCTGGACCACAGCTTCCATTATCCCTCACCTCAGGCCACCTTGGCTGGGGCTGATGAGAAGGGCCCAACAACTTCTCCACACCTTGGCCAGGGATAGGCTAACAGTGCGATCCTAGCCACGTCTTCTCAGATGCAAGTCCTACTGAATTCAGTGGGGCTTAACCTCAGTGGGTTTAGGATTGCAACCTTAGCAGCTAACGCTTGAGTGATCCACTGTAAATAATGCAAAAGTTCCCAGAGGCACAAATGAAAGCAAGGGACTGCAAGCAATATATTTGTTTTTATAAAGTGTTCCTTTCAAACTCTTCCCTTTTAATGTCTGCTACGGCTTGATTAGAATGAAACCCTTCATTCTCCCTGGTTATTTTTTACTAATACGTATGACGAGTGTCTAGCAACAGTGCTCTTTAATTAGCAGCTCCTTTGTATTCCGGTCCCTGTGCATCCGTTCCCCCCCCCCTTGCCCCCCTGCAGGAAGCCATCCCTATAAATAGTGCCTTCACCAGTGCTGCGTGTTGGCGTTAAAAACGTCGACGGTTGGATACAGATCCCTCTTGCCAAAGGAGGATCGCCGAGGCAGGTTGCTCTAACACACAAGACTGCAAAGGTCATCCCCCGCTGGGCTCTGGACCTGATTTATTACTCATTCAGTTTGTTTCTGTTTTCTTGCCAGGGCTTTCTACCTGCCTTTGTCAAGCCCAGCGAGGGAGGCTCCTGTCAGCCAAGGAGCTACATGCTAAAAGCTCTCCTGTGCAACCTTTAGCCATAACCGCCAAGCCACTTAGAACCACCAGCTCCACTCTCTGGAAGGCGCAGGAAGAGCCATAATTACTTTGACAGAGGCCAAGTAATCACAGTCTGCATCGACTAGGACGACGCCTTTCGTGACTTCTGCAAGCTGAATGCAGAAACTACACCCGCCTCTAGCACCAAGGAAGGACTCTCACTGCCCAGATACTTCCAATACATCAGCAAGGCTTCTCTGAGATTCGATTCGATATCTTTATTGTCATTGTCCCATACAGAACAATGAAACTGAAAAATCTACATAAGACATTCAAAATCCCATAAAAACTCTGAGATCCATGGAGATTGTATTGAACAACACTCAAGGGCTCATAATCCCAACACACACACACACACACACACACACACCACAATCTCAGGAGAAGAAAGGAAAATAAGAAAACAATGCGTGGAAGTCTTGTTTGTTTCATCCTTGTAGGTTCTTTATCCAGCCTAATGCAGAAACTGCAGGTCTTCACAGAAGCTGCTTCTCTGTTGAGATTTTGACCGTTAGCCATCCACTGAAATTGTCTGCAGGTCCTACAGTCCACGCCAGAGAACTGTAGTTCAGACTGCCAGAAGAGATTGCCATAAACATCACTTTATGAGCTGTAATGATAACTGGGGAAGGGCCATAGCTCACTGGTAGGGCATAAGGTCCCAGCCTCAATTCCTGGCATCTCCAGGTACAGCTAGCAATGTCCTAAACCCAGAATTCTAGACAGCCACTGCCAATAATAATAATAATAATAATTTTTATTTATACCCCGCCCTCCCCAGCCAAGGCCGAGCTCAGGGCGGCTAACAAGCAATAATAAAAACAAGTTGAATGAATACAACTTAAAAACAAGATTAAAATACAACAGTTAAAATATTGAAACATTAAAATATTAAAATGCAGCCTCATCACAGGAGGAGAAAGGAAAAAGAAAGAGGGGGAGGGAATCAAATTGGCTCCAAAGCAAAGGCCAGGCAGATCAATTCTGTCTTACAGGCCCTGCAGAAAGAAATCAGATCCTGCAGGGCCCTGGTCTCATGAGGCAGAGCGTTCCACCAGGCTGGAGCCAGAGTTGAAAAGGCCCTGGCTGTGGTTGAAGCTAATCTAACTTCCTTAGGGCCCGGGACCACTAGGGTGTTGCTATATATGGACCTTGAGGCTCTCCGTGGGGCATATCGGGAGAGGTATGTAGGTAATCAGTGTAAGTAATGCTGACCTCGGTGGACCAATGTTTGGGCTCAGTATAAGGTACGTTCTTCAGCTACCCATGAAAATCCCCCAGTCCTAGACAAGCAGAACCAAATGTTCATCTTTTTTCACCCTCTTCTGACCACGTGGAAATCATTGGAAGTGGTGTCGACAGCAACCCACAGTAGTGTCATATAGGTTTCCCTCTCGCACCAGATCAGACTTGCCTGGGAAAGCAACCCGAGCAGAAGATGATTTAAGCTGGCGATTTCAGCGAGACACGACTCTGCAATCTTCCCTAAGAGACGTGACTAAGCAGAAAAAACCCCAAAATCTGCCTCCGCCCTCCACTCTTGCAAAGTTGCCTTGCATTAGGGCATGGATGAGCAAGCCACCTCTCATTATCACTTCCATCTCTCATGCTGGCTTTTGTGGTGTGATAAAGAATTAAGTTTAGCAAATTAGGTGAGGGAGAGGGAATTTAGAAATGACACCCCTGATGATTGATGATACTAATAAGCCGTATGCTAAGGAGATTCCCCTCTCCACCCCCTCTTTACCAGCCACACCAAGCCCTATCCCTGAGCATACACAAAGAGGCTCAACATCAGCTGCTCTGATTTAAATACGTACTGAAGCATCTGTGAAACAACAAATGGAAAACATGGGGTGGTAGAGAAGGGAGCAAGGTGAGGTACTGGTTTTCAAACCCAGGATACCTCTGTTCTCCTTTTTCTGTTTTGGCATATTGCCAGCTTGTTATTCAGTTACATAATTATGGTAGCATCTATATTACAACTACAATCCCATTTTAACAACAGTTTTTGCCAAGCCAATGCCAAGGGAATTAAACCATCCTCAGTGCAGACACAACTTTCCCCTCTCAGTGGTACAACTGTCCTTTTCCCCACAGCTAGGAATGGGCAAATCTGTGAGTTTCTCATTTTTCCACACTTAGTTCAGTTCTGCACAGTTCCAAATTGATTTGTGGTATGGTTGCCGTTTTCTTTTCTTTTTTAAGAGTATCCCGTGAAAATACAGTAGCATTTAAGTGCAAATTTCTGCTTAATACATGTGTTTGAATGAAATTTCCCCTTGCATACACACTTTTGCAAAGCAATTTCCCCTAATACTGTATAGGGGGGGGGAGTGTGTAATTTTTACACACGTTACATACATTTTACTAGTACCTGTTTTTGTACCTGTTACTTTGCGGCGGGGAGAACTACACTGCAAAAATCAGGTAATTGTTTATTTCAAGAAACCTTGGTTTGCATGTGGTTTCAGAAAGTGTGAATTAGGTAGATTCTCCTATAAACATGAACTGAATCAAATTTCTCCTCCATCCTAACCCGGAGCTCCCTTCTCCTGCCTCTTGTTATTATGTCTGTGCTGTAATTCTCTGGCATCAAAATTACAGTATCCATAGGGGTTTAAAAAGTGCCCCCACCCCTTCTGCTTACACAAATAACCACAAATGTAGGACTGAGCTTTAGGTTAATACCTCATTGCACTGGTGTTAATATTCTCTCACATTTCATTTTGCAACCTCGGATGTACAGTTGGAGGCACTGTGCACAATAACATACAGCAAAATGCTCTAGACAGAGCTCAATAAAGGGGCTGCTTTCAGTTTCTAATTTTTACTGAAGGCCTGTTGGATACAGTACAATGACAGCCATGTTGGATGCTGCAAACAAGTAGCAAAAGAGAAGGCAAAAAACTTTTGCTCCGTGGTGAGATCCACGAGATCCACATGCATCCAGAGATTAAGTAGATCATGCCCTATTTTTGTGTGTTGCTTTGTAAAATACAATATACATTCATGTCAATGGGGCTGATATATTAGTTCTACAGAAAGCCTCAGACTCGTGAGTTACTCGTGCTTCATCTGTGATGTCTGCAGCAGTTCCATGGGAATACTGTTCCGAGAAAAGCAATCAACAGCTGTTGCTACAGAATTTGGGTGGGATCATATAAAGATTCCATGGAACTCTGCAGCTGTGTATGAGAAACACATAGTTGTATCCAATCAAGTTCCGCTGAAATTAATAGGCCTAATTAATTTTGATGGGTCTACTCAAGAAGGACTAGGGAGCCAGCATGGTGTAGTGGTTAAGAGTGGTGGACTTGTAACCTAGTGAACCGGGTTTGCTTCCCTGCTCCTCCACATGCAGCTGCTGGGTGACCTTGGGCTAGTCACACTTCTCTGAAGTCTCTCAGCCCCACTCACCTCACAGAGTGTTTGTTGTGGGGGAGGAAGGGAAAGGAGATTGTTAGCCGCTTTGAGACTCCTTAAGGGGAGTGAAAGGTGGGGTATCAAGTCCAAACTCCGCCTCTTCTTCTTCTTCTTCTTCCATTTGATACAACCCACGAACTCTGCTTGCAAGAGCATGCCAGCTCTTCTCTCACCATCTTAGCCAAATGTCTGCAGCAGGAACTCAAGTTGGTTCTATGTGCAGTTTAGAACCCTGGAATGTGAGGGTTCTAGATCAGGTTGGGAGTTGACACAAGTCAAGCAGGCTCCCCATTTCTAAAACCATCCCTCCAACTCATGGCGGGGGGTGATGGGGACAGCAGTGCACTCCCTCACTGCAAGAGGGATAAGAATGTCTGAATAGGGTTTATATAGCCATGCATTCTGCACATGCTCAATGTTTCCCATGTCCAAGCTGTAGGTGAAGTTAAAACCTGGACTCCCTACCCCCAGGATTTTAGTAAAAAGTAGCACTGGTGTGTGTCTTTGTGTTCATTGTCCGTGCAAAATATGAGCCATGTGCATTTTCCATGGCACAATGGTCGTACAGAACCCCGCCTCCCAAAACCAAACAGGCAAAGCTGTGGGAGAATGCTAAATTTGTGACCTAAGTAGAAGGCACAGTGCTCGTATTCAGCATGCATCTTTTATGTTTCATAGAAGCCTTTCCGCATGTACTCTGCAACTGCTCAGCCACCTGAGACCACAGTACAGGGACAGCAAATTATCTAACAGCATTCCATCCTATAATAGCAAAGGCCTCTGTGCTCTCTTAAGCACTGATGTGCATCATGATCAGAGCCTAACTTTCACCTGCAAAAAAGGGGAAAAGGGAAAAGAAAAAACCCAAACAGAGAGTTCCATCACAGTTGCTCTATACTAAAGCTGCTACTTCTGATCAGGAGAGAGAAAACACTGAGCCAGTACTTGTTTTAACTCCCTTTATTCTATCCTTTGGCGCTTTTGCTGTGATCAGCATAGCTAGCTATCCTGAACTTGTGCTTGAACTGAACTGAACTGAACTGAAGCTAAATGTGTGCTTCAGTCTCATAATCTGCCCACCCAGTTCTTCCACAATCAAGAGCAAAGCAGAAGGCCAGTTGAAACCAAGGCTGCGAATACCCATCCTATTCTACAATCCCTGTAGACCAGGCACTTGTTTTCTCCACGTAGTCCACACGTAATCTAGATCTGTTGCATATCTTTTGCCTCTGAAAAATGCTTATTGAGAAACTGATTTCGGTCCAAAGCAAAAAGCTCACTGCAGACTGATACCTAGTATTATATAAAAAATATGGCAAACAGTACAATTGGAACAGACAATTTCTAATGATGCATTCTGTCCTGGAGTGGGTATATCTGCCCTAGGGGACTTGCACCTAGTCAAGTAAATGAGCCAGTCTCCATTTTGCCTTCTCCTGCTTTGTTCACTTCCCGCCCCGCCCCCCCCCCCGCCCCCAAATCTTGGACTCATTCAAAACAAGATCCTCATCTTCATGTCTAACCTTCACCCACACTTTTTCTGCTAGCCTTGTGAATTCTGCCTAATTAAGAGCCTTTCAGATTCCCCCGTGGCCCAAGTTTTGTCATGCAGAACATGGAACTGGGAAAAAGGAAGGGCTGGAGAAAACGCGTTGTGAACATTCCCCACCCCTCTCCCCTGGGTCCGGTTGGTGCTCTTAAAATTGGCGTTTGTGTTATATCTGGGTGAATTCTTGAAATGTATTAATGGTGCTCATTAATTAAGACTCGGCGGTGATGTTCTTTAGATGACATTTTGTACTTCAGATATCCAAGCACATAATGTATATGTGTTCTGAAGGGTGCCCACGTGTATGAATCACATCCTGGTTTGTGTTCGAAATACATTCAAGTGTAATTCAGACCAAATCCATTAGACCTTCGGTTTATCTCTTAAACCACGGGCAGGAAACCTTTGCTGAGGAAGGGCTGAGGAAGACTCCTGCCTAACACATTGGAGAGTCTCTGTCAGTCAGCGTAGACCAGGGCGGTCCAACTTTTCATCCCAAGCAGGCTGCAAGAGTACTTCAACATTGAAAGTATGGGCCGCACACAGCCTTGTTGCACAGGGGGTGAGCAGCGAGGCTGTTATGTATTGAGTTGAATAGGATCCAAAAGGCAGCAGTCTGATTAGTCTTAGAACAATAGGGTCCAGAATGCAACAGTCTGATTGGTCCACAGGAGCCACCCAATCCAGCTCCAGGTGGAAGTGAATCCGCAACCTGATTGGCCTACAGGTGAATCCCGGAATTAGCCAATCACGTGGGGCCCATTGTGTAAATAATGTATATGAAGCAGACATTCTGAGGGAACTTCCATTCCTCCTCACCACTATGAGCTGAATAAAGAGCATGAAATCCACTCTCGACTCCGAGTATATTTCAGAGGCCAAAATTTGACACACACACACACACACACACTACCAGCCTTCGCGCTGCCTTCCCAAAGCAGGCTAAGTGACGCTATGAGCTTTGAGGAGGAGGCACAAGGCCCTGGCAGGGTTCCAGAGCCCTCCCACCTCCTTCTCAAAGTTGGGAATGTGCTCACTAGGCTTTGGGAAGGAGGCAGGACTCCTCAATGACCCTGTGAGGGCCCTCATAACAGCTTCCTATGTTCCTGCGTTAGGAGTGTTGAAGCCCAACTTCTCCAAGCTGGAGCTCTGTGTAACATAGGCAGCAAAGCACAGCGTAGTACTATTGTAGGAACACTTATAACACTAATAGACTTCTCTCCCAGTTTCTGAACCCTACATTTAGCACTCTCTCAACAGCAAGTAGTACTATCTACTGAACCATCAGCATCACCCAGGGGAGACGCACCAAGGGTGATCGAACTAAGGTTTGCACATACTCACAACCTGAACTGCTTTGCTCCTTTTTGTCAAATGAAAAATATGTATTTTAAAACTTCCTCTGAAGGTTTTGTTCTTAAAATCAATCTTGATTCAATAGGAGAGCCACAGAACTAAAAAGAAAGAAAGAAAGAAAGAAAGAAAGAAAGAAAGAAAGAAAGAAAGAAAGAAAGGTAAGTTGTGCCCTTTAAAAAGATTGATTCCAATTTTTTCGCTAGCCCTCAGATCTAAATATACCTTGCATTTATGGGCAAGAAACAGAACGCGAAGAGAAGAAAGGAAAACACAATATTGTCCAACACATAATTGTGACCGCAAGGATTTCATTTGTGGAAACAAATTAAGCATGGATTGTTTCCTGTAACTCTCTAACAATTATTAAATTTCCCCACAGCCATATTGGCAGAAGGCAGGGAAATAAACCTCATTAGAATGTAATAGAAACAATATTTGTCTGTCCTCCCCTTACTAATGGGAAAACACAACTTTCCCTCTCCCTAAATGTTTTTAATAAATCTTAGTTCACATTATTTATTGATTTTTGCTGTAAGAATGGATCAAGTCATACTGCATGTCGTTAACTGTTTGGGTCATGATCCATGAATAGTAGGCAGCACATACTTGAAATACTGTGTGCTGTTTATTGGTTTGGGGTACTTTTGGTTTTTGGTATTTGGTAAAATAGAATGGAGAATTCCCTGGATGGCTAGATCCAGGTTTGGGGCAAGTACTCTTTGGTGAGAGAGAGCCCCAGCAGAGATTTAAAATCACAAAACATGCAGCATGGAAATATACCTTTAAAATGTCCCCTTCTAAGTTTCCTCCAAAGTTCCCCACTCCCCTTTGAATAGAAAAGACTTGTTTGGTAAGTTAAAAATGGTTTACCTACAAATTCTTCAAATGTCAGGTTCATGCGCTTTCCCATACAGCACCAAGAACACACAAGGCAGTATAACTTAGGTTCCAAAAAGTGGCAAATCTTTCTAAACGATTTGTATAGAAACACAAAGATGGCTTGCTAAAGCCATGTGGTCTAAGCTTGGAGCATCCAGCTTAGATTCACATGGTGGAAACAGAGAGAACTAAGAGTTTGGTAACCCCTCCTCCCAAGGTAAGGGGATGTGACCTAGCTAAGCCTGGCATCTTAATCTGTGGTCTGAACACCTTTATGCATTGATTAGAGTTAAGCATCTTGGTTATGTGAGGTTGGATATATCCCACACAGTTCTGGTCATTACACCCATGCGATGTACCCCTTTTCGCCACTTGAAATGCCACCCTGGCATCCCGCCATGCCACCTCTGCCACTGATGAAGTGGCACTGGCTTCTGAAAGAGAACAAGATATTGCCCAATCTCACAAGATTTTCGTAATATCGTGTCCTTCCAACTCTATGATTCTATTATTATATTTCACTGGAAATCACTGGAAATATTTCACTACACCTCAAAAAGGATGTTGTAGCGTGGGTGGTGCCTCTTGGGCTGGCCGATCAGAAGGTCGGCGGTTCAAATCCCCGTGACGGGGTGAGCTCCCATTGCTCGGTCCCTGCTCCTGCCAACCTAGCAGTTCGAAAGCACATCAAAGTGCAAGTAGCTAAATAGGTACCATTCCAGCGGGAAGGTAAACGGCGTTTCCGTGCACTGCTCTGGTTCGCCAGAAAGCGGCTTAGTCATGATGGCCACATGACCCGGAAAAACTGTCTGTGGGCAAACACCAGCTCCCTCGGCCTGTAAAGCAAGATGAGCGCCACAACCCCAGAGTCGTTTGCAACTGGACTTAACTGTCATGGGTCCTTTACCTTTTCTCAGTGCTGTAAAAGGTACAGAGAACAGAAACTCCCCAAATCCCATAAGAATGAGGAAAGGTGGGAATTTTTAATTTTTTTGGGGGGGGGACAACTAATTGTGTGCAGGGGGGCAGGGGGGCTGACATGATATGAAATTCTGCACGGGGAGATATCTGTGCATTGCAATTTATATGATTTTACAATTGCTATGGTCTTACAAGCAAACTATTCTCTTAAATAACGTGAGAGCTTGAGAAGCGGGTAGAAATGGCTACAGATCTTGGCTGTAATAATCTATATGCGTTCAGTATACCAAAAGAATCGAGTACATAGACTAGAGAAAGGACAAGGTATCAGAGAAAATTAGAATGTGCAGAAATTGCTATTTTCTTCTGTGTGTGAAGGTGACTTCCAGTCTTGCCATGTAGACAGACACACACCTCTGACTGCACCAGTAATAATAAAACACCAGAAGATGATGGGGGGGGGCAAAGACCAACCCCTCTCTTTGGCATTGCTCTGACCATAGAACAGCAGCAGAAGGGGGCACCTAAAATAACTATCAAAATCAGATGACCCTGACTCATCATTACAATTTTTACCATTGCTATAATGATAAGGATGGTGTTATATCGATTTATTCCGATTGCATTGTTCAGTTTTTATTTTACATGCCAATGAAAAGGGGCAAATAAAGAGCAATAATTGTTGATGCAATTGCAGGTGTGTCTCAAGTCATAGAAGGCAGGGCTGTTATACAAATGGAGAGGGTGGCCAATGAACCAAGGAAACCTGTGGCTTATATTTATTTACTGCAGGTGTGGGATCACATCACTGAATGCTTCCTGTCTGCCAGGGATTTAACAAGAGAAATTATAACATTATGCCTGACTCCAAATGGGTCGTCTCTGTGTGTGTGTGTGTGTGTGTGTGTGTGTGTGTGTGTACATACACTATCTTATTGTGCAATTTCAACACATCTAAAGATTGATCAATAAAACATCACAACTTTAATATTTATAATTATAATATTTATAATTATATTTTAAATTATAAATATTTATAATCGTTCTTTAGGGGACACCTATATAAACAGCAATAGTTGCTGATGCAATTGCAGTTATGTAGGGAGGGGTGGGTGTGTGCATGTGTGTGCAAATGTTTAACAGAATAAAATGGTTTTTTGCCTGTCTGTTGAAAGTCAAGGCGGCTAACAAATTCAATAATTTATTTATTTTTTATGATCCCATCTATGTTTTTAGTTGTTTCTCTTTTATCTGTAAGCCGCCTTGTGTCCCTGTCAGGGGAAAAAGGCAGGCTATAAAGTAATATGATAACAATGGCAAGATTGACGGAAGGGACCTGCAACAAGATATTGCAGTGTCAAGCTCTCCTGCTCAGGATTCCAGCCAGCCATGACCTTTTCCAATATATTCCGTTCCATTCCCATCCATTCTAACTCCGCCTCCCCACCAAGAGTCACTCTGCAATCCACTGACCATGCTCAGCCTTCAATTGAGCTGTTTTGAGTTCTCCCCTTCCCCCTCCCCCAGAGATTTCTTTTGTACTTCTACTAACCATGAGTTTCCTCTGAACGGGCTGATACCTTCTTTCTTGTGCAAAGATGGCGTCATAAGGAGTCTGTGCCAACCTGGTGTCCTCCAAATGCTTTGGAACAGAACTCCCATCAACCCCCTGCCAGCACATCCTTGCCTGCTGGGTCTGTTGGCAGATTTGTTCCACAAGATCATGCAGGCACCTGGCTGGCAAAGGATGGCATATAAGGTGAGCAAAGGAATGGAGGCAGACAGGGCCGGATGAGGCCCTAAGCTACTGAAGGTAATGGGGCCCTTTATATGTCCAGTTGTCCTTTGTCAACAACAAATTGTCACTGTTTTATGTGTTGAATATATGCTATATGGTAATTTATGGACCTAATAGGTATCTAAAGTTTTTTTTAAAAAAAAGGTATCTAAAGCCATTTGCACATGTTGCCTTGCAACCAGTCCATGCAGAATGTAGGCACCCTATACATAGAAATGAGCAAACCAGTGATATTTTAGGGAGCAGGTGGGGCCCATTACTTACATCATAGGAACCTACACAAAACACTGTTGTTGTAAGTAGGTTTTATTTTGTTTGTTTTTTATCTTATATTTTGGAAATGTACATCCAGTGGTTTTTTCCCTTTAATTTTTTTGGGGGCCCCCAAGAGAGTGGGGCCCTAAGCTATAGCTTGTTTAGCTTATATGTAAATCCAGCACTGGAGGCAGACATGGAGCCCATGGCTGAGAAGGCACCAAGCAGCCCATTTGGATTCCTATGTCTCGAGAATGGATGCTCATTTGAAGAAATAGGAGGCGGCCTTTATAAAATTGTACTAGGCTGATAAGGTCTGCTATGGTTTTCACTTGAGGATCCAATGAACCTTAGTTCTGGAGGCTGGGATAGAGACATCGGAAGGCCTTTCCTCAGGGCTACAGTTTGATGGATCTTGGGGAGGTTCCAAACGCAACACCTAATAAATCAGGTATCAAAACACACAGAATTTAACCAATGCTTTCTTTGCCTCCATCGTCCATTTCCCCTGCAATAGTTCCAGGGCAGTGTTGATAAAGAAAGAGAAAAGGACACAAAGAATAATGATGATCAGTAGACAATAAAAGGAGAAGGATGGAATGAAGAAAGGCTAAACTTCAAACCTACATGGGGGGAAAAGCTCACCAGGTTGACTTCCACATGGAAAATAATAGGGATTTTGAAAAAGGAAGAGTTTAAAAGGTTTTAAAAGGTCATTATGTATTTAGCAGCCAAAGAGCAGTATGAATTTCTAAGCAGCAACATCTGGAAGATCAAAAGAAATCATACTTCAATCAACATGAAAATATCTGCTCATTACATGCAATCATATTTAGTTATTAATAGACACTGGCTAGACACTGACATTTTGCACATTTCATCGTATGATGCACCAGGGACACTTCTGGCATTTAGTTTATCATTTTCATCAGTGTCATGGAAAGAGTGACCGATCTGACCCCCAAAACCCTCAGACTGTCACTCATCGTAAGTGAATTTATCAACACATACAGAATGGGGAATACACAGGAGAATTTTAACTGTTTGCATACAAAATCATTTCATTCTTCACGCTTCAAAAAGAGGGAGGGAGGGAGGGAGGGAAGCCGGCACCTTCACTTTTGCATAATAAATAATAAGGGCCAGCAGACAATTACATAGGTGGAAATAGTATGCAAAATGATTGGAATTCAAATTTGTTGTGCAAATGTAACTGGAGGTAGCTTAAGTAATCAGCTGCAACGGGTTGATTTTCCTCCATTGTTAGAGGTTAATACAAAAGCTCTCCAGCTTATATTAGAAGCAGCCTTACTTCAACTGCAAATTGGCACATATCCCATTAGTATTTTCATTCTATGACATCTCCTCTGATAGACTTAGATGCACAGGCTGGCAAATATTAAAATTAATTGGGCTATTATATTTAAGGCAGAGGGAAAAGCAAAAGTCTTGGTGAGGGAAATTCTGGGGGACAAGTAGGTCTGACCCCAATGTCCAAGACACCCTGGAACTGAATGGAAGTTTTTTCTCCCCCTGTGGCAGAATGGTTTGCTAAACTGGCACATCCTACTGACTGGGGTTAAATGATTGCAATTAAAGGAACAACAAGAGCAAATCTCTTCCCCCCCCCCCACTGTACTAATCATGATTGCAAAAAAAAATGCCTGAAATGCGATTTTATTTCTAATGACAATTATTTGGGGATTGGATTGCAATTTTAGTTTTGCTAATTAGATCCACTGCTGCATTTTCATACTCGCTCATTGCATCCTTTGACGATTCTCACCAGAATTGCATTTCCACACTGGCCACTTTGCAGGCTACGCTTTAATAATTCTCAAGACAAATATGAGAGGGGCTTCATTATATTTTGTGACAGCGGTAATGTAAACCTTCTTCCATGTTTCAGTTTCAGAAATCATCCTGGTCGCTGAACCATTAATTCTAAGAAAAAACTACTGTTTCAGAGGGATTATCCAGAAACAGATTATAAGCATGTATAATTCTTATGCAATAAATTGAAATTAATATACTGTTTACCCAAAACCTTAAATAAAAAAAAGGTAGGTCTGTGTGTGTGTGTTTAATTTGGACATTCCAGAAGACATTGAACAACAAGCACAAGCAATGTGCGGATTTGCTTTAGAATAACAGGAGGATTTACAGTAGAACAAATTTATCAATGTGTTAGCTTCTCAAATGTATTAGGGATCTGAAAACAGCGCTCAAAACTCCCATTGTTCTAGGCGCGTTGTGCGACAAGGAATTTCATTAATGAGAAGCGGTTTCTGCACTCTGGGCGCAGTCCTAAAATTTCAGATTAAAACTGCAGAGTGGAAGCAAAGGAGGACCTTTTTCTGCCTCCCCACTTCCAGCCACCCTCTGGAGAAGAGACCCTCTTAAGAATATTTGGGGGGCTGGCAGGGGAAGCATGGCTTTGTTTTTGCAGTCTTCAGATGAGGATTAGCCCATGTGAAAAATGAATGTAAGATTTTAGCCGCTTCGTTCATTTTCAGCTTTGTATTCTTGTTAGAAAAAAGTGTGCCAAGACATTCCATTGTTGTGCCCATAACCTAGGTTTAAAGCACCATTTAGCTCCTAGCTTTCATATCCCAGTTTCTAACACTGTTTGAAAATGCAATAAGGTCTCCCAGGACCTCTCTAATCTTGTTTTCTCCTTAGCAGCGACTGTATGTCTATATAGGGGTGTGTTTTTTCTCACCACCCATAACATTTGCTTCCAATGATCAGATTTAATTTCCTAAAAGGAATGTGTTCATGCTAAGATTCTTTCCATGTTTAAAACAGATTGCAGGGTCTCTTAAGTGTTTGTTCAGTTTTGGCCACACAGATGAGAATCACCACCCAATTTCTTGGGCCACTTCTATCCCTTAAAAGTTTTAACGGTCAAAAAGGAGCTGTAAGGTGCCAGCAATGCACCTATTTCTGGGAGGGGTGATGCCGATTTGGGAAAGTTGCAGCAGGGATTTCTTCCACATGATCATGGGCTTATGTGTCCTGGAGAAAAGAGCCGCATGGCTCAGTCTCCCATAAACACAATACAGTGGTACCTTGGTTTAAGAACAGCTGAGTTTATGAACAACTTGGAATAAGAATGCTACAAACCCGGAAGTAGGTATTTTGATTTGTGAACTTTGCCTTGGAAGCAGAACATGTTCCGCTTCCTGTTGAGTGTGTTCAGTTTGTAAATTGAGTCCCCCGCTGCTAATCAGAGGCTTCCTGTTGAGTCTGTCGGCTGTTGAGTCCCAAGCACCCACACAATGAAGAGGTGATATTTGGAGCTTCTGTTTTTGCTATTTATTTATTTTTGTGTTTTTGTTTGTGTGACTTTTTCAATTTTTTGACTGTGACTTGTTCTTCGTTTTATGGAACTGACTTGTGACTGTGGCTTGTGACTTAGTTTTTGTGGCTTGTTTTTGAGACTGTGTGGAACCCAGTTCAGCTACTGGTTACTTGTGTGACTGCAGAAATGGATAAAAGCCCCCCATCCAAACAATGACTATCATCAGTGCACGTAAGGAAAAAATAATAATTTTAATTTTTATCATCTACAATACTGTCTTGTTTATTTTATAGTACAGTACATTGATTATTGCCTTCATTTTATGGATCAATGCTCTCATTAGATAGTAAAATTCATGTTAAATTGCTGTTTTAGGGGTTGTTTTTCCTCGTCTGGAACGGATTAATCCATTTTCCATTACTTTCTATGGGAAAGCAAGCCTTGGTTTAAGAACGCTTTGGTTTAAGAACGGACTTCCGGAAAAGATTAAGTTCGTAAACCAAGGTACCACTGAATTTTTGCAAGCACTGAAAAGCCACGATGACATCATTTTCAACAATGCCCCAATCACATAAAAATTTCCAAAAGGCAGTGCCTCTTGAGTCCGAAAACATGGCAGAGGACTAATAGATGGACAAAGATCCTATAAGCCCTTATCGTGGCAAAGAGACTTACATTGCAAGCAAGAAATGATAAACACCCACCATCCACTGTACAGTGAAGCTCTCACTGCCCTTTCTACACTGGAATTAATGATCATCAATCTCATTTAGATACCTCTTCAGACACATGGACTGCTTATATGACTCTACAGATTCTGGCAATGTTTTTCTCACTTTGCCTCCCTTGCCTTCTGTTATATTTGAGATTTTATATATAGATACAGATAGATAGATAGATAGATAGACAGATAGATAGATAGATAGATAGATAGATAGATAGATAGATAGACAGACAGACACACACACAGTCCAGCACACAGTGGGACTTCACTATTTTTCTGACTCACAAAGACTCACAGACTTATTGAGCAGATGATGAAGAAAATAACTAAGGAGCTATCCCCTAATACTGATACAAAACTCAAAGGAGCCCTCAAAACCAACACAGTGTAACAGCAGCAGTATTTATGGACAGCTTTTAAAATATTTTACAGAAATCCCATTTTATGGTAATGTTGCTTAATAATTAATTTTGTTAATCTTAGGCTTCGACTTCAATTTCATTCAGGTCTGCTTCAAAGTGGCAACTTCTGTTATTTAAAGGAGCATTAGAGTGGGTTGAGGCACGGAACATTTTTAATGAACTTACTATAATTGAATGCACAAACTCAAATAACGCAATCTGAGGAAAAATAAGGAACACTGCAATTACTGAAGCAATCATAAACATAGCTAGATAGACGAAAATACAATTTCTAGCTTTACAAAGGCACCATGAATTACTAGAGGTGGGAGCATCTTAAGAGTGGGGGGCTAAGCAAAGAGTAGAAACTTTTTGATTTTCTGAGGCTGAAACGAAATGAGAACACAACCACAGCAATTTGGGGTGGTTTCCAGAAAAAGCTTGAATTATGGGAGGAAAGGAAGAGACCTTAACAAAAGCCCTGGAATCCCTTTATTTTTTTTCCAACCAAATCATACCCACAGTTCCATAGCCTTCTAAAAAGATTAGTTAAATGGGCAGAAGAAAATGGTCTAGGCCCCCTTTAACTCTCCTGTAATTCAAGCACTGATTTTAACCCAAGATTTAGCAATCTAGTCTAGTGGATAGATTCTAGCAGAAGGTAACAAGATGAGAATAAAAAAAATAAAAGCATGTATCCAATAACTAAGACTTTTATTAGCTACTTCATGATCCTAAAGCAGTATAATTCTTCACCCTCGGAAACTCATGGCACAAGCAATTTATTAGTCAATAGCAACCTCGTGCCAGCATTCCTTGGGAATTCTAAGAAATAAATAAAAATCACTGCAGTTTTGGAACCAGCGGTAAAGCGCAGGATAGATATAGATTGCAGCTCACATCATATGTGCACCACTTCCTAAACCAATGGTGGGAGCACACTGGATGCAGCTGACATGTGGGCAAGCAGCTAGTGCTGCTGTGCTACCCCGAACATCAGCTGTTCGGCGGGGAGGTTGAGCAGCTCAACAAAGCCTCGCTGCCCCTCCAAATTGCAAAGAAACCTGCCCCAGAGGGTCTCTGGGGTGGGTCTCCTCCAGAGCCAGGAAGACTCTCCAGGGTGCTCCCCACTAACGCAATTTTGCATATGCGTGCGGAGGCCTGGAATATAACCGTGTAAATGAGGAGTCACCTGTACACCTCTCAATACCAGTTGCTGGTGAACAACAGTGAGAGAGGGTGATTATGCTCATGCCCTGCTTGCAGGCATTCCACAGGCATCAGATGTCCCGCTGTGAGAAATGGACTATATGAGTTTTTGGTATGATCCCACATGATTTTTATTTATCTATTTTATTTCATTTATATATCGCCTTTCTTCCAATGAGCTCAAGATGGTGTACATGGTTGTCCCTTCCCTCCTAACAACCCTGGAGTTAGGTTAGGCTGAGAGGCGGTGACTAGGCCCTGTCAGGAGCTCGCCCTACATTTGAGTAGGACCCTGGCAGAGACACATGCCCGACTGGCATGTTCTCTCCCTCCTGGTTGATCGTTCAGGAGCTTCAAAAGCTTTCTTCTGCCCGAACATTAAGCGACCGATGCCAACAGACATCGGCACACTTAGGGATCTACAGAGTCTTCGCAGCTTGCGTAACAGACCTCAGCAACTCAGCATTTTGGCTAATCTGCTTTATTTACATATAAACACACACGGAGCACTGCAACATGGCTCCCTCTCTCTCTAGTATCAGGCAGCAAAGAGAGAGAACAAAGGACAATAGTCCCACTTCAAGGAACACAGTAAGACAAACATCCTGTCTCCGTCACTTCCCACTCTGTGGAATCAAAACATACACCATCATGTGAAAGACAACAATCCCATGACTGCAATCACGGAGCAGGAATTCTAGCAGGCCCAAGGTCACCAAATGAGTTTTATGGCAGAGTGGGAATATGAACTCCCAGGTCCCAACCAGACACTCTTAACCACAACAGCACACTGACTATCTTATGTTCTTATACTGATGATACCTAGTTAACTAGGACTGCAGTTACACAAGCACTAATTCAATCCCTGATTTGCCACCTCCGGCACTTTCCTCCACCTCTATTTGCCAAGCTTCGAAACTGCATTAAAACCAGAACAAAGATTTCTTTGGGTAAATCCTTTCAACGCTGCTGAGTTATAAATCTTTGCACACAGAGTCCTCTAAAGGAAATGGTAAGAGACTAGGCTATAATGGTACTGATGGATATTTATACCTCATTTCCTTGCTTCTTCCGCCTTAAGAGATTCTTTTCTCTCCCTTCAAGTATGATATAATTGAAATGGAAGAAAAATGCCCACCTAATTGTGCAGATGCTCTGTTAATCACTTATTTCAATTCAATTAGTTTCAACAGGATAAGAATGTAATCTGACAGTCTAGGGAGCAATAGGTATTTTGGGGTATAGCAAATTGCGCGATAGCATCTTGCTCTGTTCCCCCCACCCCCAAATCAACCGACTGAAGCTAATATGTTTGCTTAGCAATGCTTTTTTAAAAAAAGAAAAGAAAAGAAAAGAAAAAGAATAACCGGATGGCTTTTAATAAATGTAGTAGATTTAAGGATGAAAATAAAATCCCCATTACGGCGCTTCATAAATATTAGCAAGTTTTATTAAAAGCAAATACAGGTGCATTTGTGCAAAGATAAGTGGTTCTCTCATCGAGGTATGTGGAATTTGCTTAGCGATGGAGCTTGATCAGCAATATCTGTGCTGGTAACACCCAAGTACACCCACACTAACCATAACAACCCCAATATATCTTGCCAGTTGACACAAAACAAGAAATGACTGTCGAAAACCTAAATCCTGTCCTTTTGCACCTCTCTCCTCCTTTTCCAATCACTTTCCCACAACCCAAATCATCCCCATGGTGTTAAAAGATGTATGGAGATGATCAAGTAATCTCAAAGGACACAGTCCTAGCCCTGGCTGTTAACTGCCATATGCTCAAATCCGGTACCCATGTCTGGGGCTGTGTACCAGCTGGAAACACAGCCAAGCCATTCATTTTCTCAATTTCAATCAAAGCTGGTTTGGAGGGGAAACAGCATCAAGATGCAGTATTTCCTAAGAAATAACAGGGCAAATGCAAGGATAGATGTGGATTTCAGCTCACATTATGCATACACCACAGGAACTTCCTTAACAGCCTAGGTGTCAAGGAAAAGGAGACCTGCCTCTTCTATTGCTTATATGCTTCTAGACCCAATTCAAGGTGTTGGCAATGGTTTGGGTGCAAACTACCCAGAATGCACCTACACGAAACTGCCAGAGATTTGAGGTCAGTTACAGAGACCCTGCTCACCGGGGTCAAAGGCCCACCAGGAAAGGTTAGACTGGCTGGTGCAGTCGCAGCCAGTGTGGTGCGGCAGAGGTGTGTCTCCACCTGCCTATAGCTCACTTGAATGAGGCCAGAGGCTAAGAGTGTGAGCAGAGATGCTCTCGCATTAAATCCCGTTTTAGAAAGGAACACACTAAGCAGCCTTAGGCAAGTCACTGTTTCAGTCTCAGTCCGCTCCCAAACAATTAATATGGAAATATTAATACTGATCTACCTTGTAGGGTTCATCTAAGTATTGCTGAGCCATAGAATGCTAGGCCATTATTTTTTATTTTTTGCACCGTTCCTGCCTATTTAGCGCTATATGCATGAGCTGCAACAAGTCTGAGCAAGGCTAAACTCTGGCTGGTTTCTCCAGCATCATGTTTGAAGCTGGCTTGTTCTGGAGCTGACCAGGGTTTGTTACAAACCATGGTTCCCGGTTCATGCTCCGTTGCTCCCCGATTTTGTGAACGTGAAACTAAAATCTGCCACACGAACATGGAAGCTTGAGTCTCACTTGGGCTCATTCCAGCTCTCACACAAAGCCTTAAGCCATGGTTTTTCACACAGTTTTTAACCCAGAAACGAAGTAGCTGAAACTTTTATAGCAGGGCTGGCTAACCTCTGACTCTCCAGATGTTATTGGACTCCCATCAGCCTCAACCAGCCAGGACTGGTGAAAAACTACACCTACTGTATTTTCTGGCGTATAAGACTACTTTTTAACCCAGGAAAATCTTCTCAAAAGTCGGGGGTCGTCTTATACGCCAGCTACAGCAGCAGCTCCTGCAGCAACTCCCCACCAAAGGATGAAACAACAGCAAATTAAATCAGAGGACACCAAGCTCTCTAGATGAAGCAGAAATACGCTTGAAAATTGGCCCCAGAAGCCCCCAGCCACTGAGAAGTGGAGCGGATTTCCGAGCCGGACTGGAGACTGGTTTTTTAAATTTTTATTTGGTGTGCGTTGGAAGAGGGGTAGTCTTATATGGCGAGTATATCCCAAACTCTATATTTTAACTGGAAAAGTTGGGGGGTCGTCTTATACGCCCTGTCATCTTATACGCCGGAAAACACGGTATTTGTGTGTGTCAAGACAGCTGTTAAAGGTGGTAGGGCTCATAACTGTGCTGCTCACCTAATTCTGCATGTCTAAGCCCCATATACAAATAAACAGGCGATTCCAAGGAGGTCTGCTTATCATTGCCACCATAATAAGTCAACCCAATTCCCTGAACCTGCACACCCAACTTGGGTCTGTTTTACGCCTGAGGTTTTCTCCCTCTATGCCTTCAAAGATTGCAAGACATTTTACAGCTCTGGCTTTCACTGTAGTGAGAGATCTCTCCGAGGAACAATCCCAAGAGCTAGAGGCAATAAAGTCTGGAGAATTGATTATCCCAGTGTTTATTCCCCTTTTGATTCCTTCTATTGGCAGAGGATCTCTCTTCCTGCCACCTGACAGGACCCTGCATACTCATGCCTTTCTCCCCCACCCCAGCACACACATATTTCTGCCTGCAAAACTAGGAAGTAAGCTGGGTTGCTAAGGGCCAAGCCATTTCTATTTCCTCCAAAGAGGGGGGAAATAGCTTACCAGAATCCAGAAAATCTCCCACAAGGATGCCACACACTTTAAAGAAAAAGCAGGCTGCTGCTACTGCTTCTCTCCCCCTCTTTCTTTCCTGCTATCCAATCATTTGCAGGATAAATCCTAAAGCTAGTTTCACTCCCGGTTTTTCTCTCTCTCAAATCGTCAACACCTTTCTTATCAGCTGCATAGGTTAATTTCCCAGCTCTCTCTGCCTACCTCACGTTGCTTAAGGGTCTCCTTCCTGCCTTATGGTTAAAACTGTTTTAGAAAGACCATTGAACTTCATCTTTCTGATCAATGATCAGCAGCCTTTAAAAGCTTTTCTCAGTAGGCTTAGTTGCAGCATAACCCTTCTCTCCCCCCCCCCCGCCACCACCACAAATCAGGTGCTCACAAAGCTGTTCTCGAAAATGCCATGGACTGATTCAAACCAACACGTTGCAGAAACATGGGGTTGCCTGTGCTGCAGCTGCTCAGAGACTGAATAGCACCAATTGGGGCAGGGAAGTCCCACAAAGCTGGTAGGCACGGATCAAATTACTCAAGCGAGGACTCTGAATACATACTCCGCTTCAGATGGTGGATTTAGACAGGGGAAACCACCTCTGCTGCTTACAGGCACAATTCCCCATCCCCAACGGAGGAAGGATGTGAAAGGCTGTTTGGGCATGGGCATGACCCCCTTAGCGCATGGGCAACTCAGTGTGTTGCCCTCCAGGTGTTCTGGATAGACTACAGCTCCCATGATCCCTGACCGTGCTGGTTGGGGCTGATGGGAGTTGGAGTCAACAACTTCTGGAAGGTATCACGTTATCTATCCCTGCCCTAGCTAGATCCAGGCATTTACCTAATGTAGTTATCCTTCAAATTGTCATATAGTGGTACCTCGGGTTAAGAACTTAATTCGTTCCAGAGGTCTGTTCTTAACCTAAAACTGTTCTTAACCTGAGGTACCACTTTAGCCTATGGGGCCTCCCGCTGCCGCCATGCCGCCACCGTGTGATTTCTGTTCTCATCCTGAAGCAAAGTTCTTAACCCGAGGTACTATTTCTGGGTTAGCGGAGTCTGTAACCTGAAGTGTCTGTAACCCGAAGTACCACTGTGTGTGTGTGTGTGTGTGTGTGTGTGTGTGTGTGTGTGATTTAACGTGAATGAAGAAGTGTCTGCATCAAAGGGTGGATTGTTCCTTGAACACTGGCCAGAGCACTCCTGCCAGCCCCTGAGCTTCAACTCAAGTTGTGGATATTTTTGTATACAGTATTTTTGGTATGGGTTGGAAAGAGGGCAACAGAAAGGGCATTTAGAGGGTGCTCGCCACTTTGGGGGAAATCATGTGCTTTAAATGCATGTAATGTAAATTTAAAAATCCTTTTGTACAGCAACGTGTCTTGCACCTTTCCCCCAACACTTCTGTCCGTCCCATCTTTTAAGAAAATCCCAGCAACACAAGGGGGGTCTGGCCATTATGTACTGCACAATAATGGATCTCAGAACAATTAACTCTCGGTTCAACCTCAGTTTGCCCTCGTATGCTGTTATATCCTTGCGCCAAAGTCAGAACCCTTAATCCTGTTCTACGAGCTGTGCCTATGCAATGGATCCTAGTTCTGAGCCATAAGACTTCTGTACTTCTTCCTGTTTATAGCTATTAGGAATAAATCCAAAGAGCAGACCTACTCAGTGCACTCTTTCCAAATGAATAACACGGATTATTATCATCAGCAGGCATGCTGGCATCAGGTGGATTGAGAGTGCATTCACTGAGAAATCTGGTAAGCTCAGCTGCCTCTGTGTGTGCCTGCTTTTGAACTATATTTAACTCTTACTCAGCATTCTGTTCACACTCCTGTAAAATGTTGCTCCCTGGATTGCAGCGGATGAGGGTAGTGCTTCGATTCTCATTTAATTAAGTGCTCCGCGTCTTAAGAGGGTGATACCGCTGATTAGTGTTCTCGTTCCAAAGCATTTCATGAAGGAGAAAAGAAGGTTACTTGCTGGTAAACAGAATTCTCCGATTTCATAATCTCCGTCGGGACCTACTGCCCATCATTGTAAAAAATATATATATTCCCGATATTGAAGACAAAAGAAGAGACAAGGCCACATCTTCACCGTACATTTAAAGCATCGTACCATTTTGTCATGGCTTCCCCACCAAGAATCCTGGGAACTGTAGTTGGTTAAGGGTGCACATCCCATGCGTAGCTTGGAAGGGATTAGGAACAATAAATTAAAAAACTAGCAATTAGTTGGCCTTTCAATGGACACCCCAAACTAGCTGCCGGAGCTAATCACATGAGAGTGAGGGCCAATGAGATGCAAAGGAGCCAAATCAGACACGACTGCAAGTAGAATGATAAATGCCTGACACAAGTGCCAGACCTCAGTGGCTGATCAGCCAAGCAGATCCGCCTGAAATATAAGAATCCTATGCCTATTTCATTCCCTCTTGTTGCCTAAACAGAGAATTTGGTACTTGTCTCTGTTTTTCATTTCCGGCTGACTTGAGAAACCAATATGGTATCGCGAAGGCCGCTGTTACCTCTCCACGACCCAAGTGCTGAAACCCACAAATCACATGCAATGGGTACAAAGGAATAAAAAAATTATTTAAAATCTTCTCTACAAATCACTCAGCATTGAACGCCAAAGACACGGCAGCCAGCGAGGAGGAAGAGGGGAGATGGGGGCAGAGTTTGGGTCTCCCTCTCCACCCCCAAAGATGGGTGACCAGGTGGGCCTGGCTGCAAGTGAGGGGGTACGCTCAGACACCTCCATCTTTGCCCACTCCACCCCCCGCCCAGGCCCACCAGTCTTCCAGCAGCTTCCATAGAGTACCAGCTAGTGCTTCCCCCAACAAGCCCCTCAGCCTGGGAATTGTGTGCACTCCTCATAGAATAATAAATTTAAAAATTTTTATTTTGTATCCCGCCCTCCCCAGCCGAAGCCGGGCTCAGAGCGGCTAACAACAGTAAAATGACACAACATTCTAAAATCAGTTCATTATAAAATCAGTTCAAATCAGATTAATGGCAACCATTGGGCTAGAGTTCTGTGAAGAATTGCCAAAGGAGGGGGTCAGGCTGTGCCTTGGCCAAAGGTCTGGTGGAACAACTCTGTCTTGCAGGCCCTGTGGAAAGATGTCAAGTCCCGCAGGGCCCTAGTCTCTTGTGATAGAGCGTTCCAGCAGATTGGAGCCACAGCCGAAAAAGCCCTGGCTCTGGTTGAGGCCAGCCTAACCTCTCTGTGGCCCGAGACCTCCAAGATGTTTTTGTCTGAAGACCGTAAGGTCCTCCGTGGGACAAACCAGGAGAACTAGGTCATCTAGTCCAAACCCCAGCCATGCACAACTAAAGCATCCCTGACAGAGGGCCACCCAACCTCTGTTTAAAGGAGAGTCTATCATGGTTAGACTGAGGGGCCTGGGGCATTTGGGTTCAGCCCACGGGGAGGACGGGTCTTTCTCCATCCCTTCCAGGCTCCTAACTGCCCCCCACCCCTACTTGGTCCCAGTCAGTTGGTTGGCAGCAAGCACATGTTGGTGAAAGGGCAAGGCCAGCAACAGGCCAGGACAGAGCCGGACGCAAACCATACGCCTTGGCAGAGTCGTGTTTATGACACTGGCAGGGGAGCATGGAAAGGCTGCTTATTTTCTTTCTGAACGAAACCGGCAGAGATTTCTTTGCTTCGGATCAACCTGGGAATTCCCATCTCCTTCCTTCATCCGCCAACCTTTCCCTTGTCACATAAACAGAGATGTAAGCAGAGATAAAGAGGGGCTGGCGAGAGAGAACATCGCTGCAAAGAGACAACAGCAGTCAGGGAAGGTGTCTGTGTGTATTGGGGTGGGGGGGAGAAGCCTAGAGTGGGGTGGCAGACCTGCAAAAGGGGGGGTCCTCCAGTCAGAACAGCAGACAAGAGAAAGGAAATAATTTCAGAAAGGGCTGAAAGGGAAGAAGGTCTCTAAGATCAGACAAAGGAAAATAGGCAAGGTTGTTTGCCCCCGTTGCTTAGTGGAGCCTTGTAATGCGCAGTGAATAAACCACTACAAAAAAATATAGTTTTAGAAAAGGTACTGAAAACCCAAGAGGCATCAACAAGAGGGAGAAAAGCAGCCATTTTGCGCCTTCTTTTGTTTGTTTCCTATGAAGAAGTTCTAAAACAGGGGGAGGAAACCACATATATTTAACAAAATGTATATACCGCTTGATTGCTAATGGAACGTCTAGGCAGTTTACAAAAAATAAAGCATTAAAATGCTCCGAAAAAAGGTTTAAAACAGGATAAACTTAAAACCAATGGTTAAGTGAAAAACAGATAAAAACACAGGCTTGCAGGAACAAAAATTATCTTAGTCATAAAGAGTACATGAAAGAAGTGGAGTTGTAGGTGAAGAAACAGGGAGGGGTCTTTTGCTCTTGCCCTCCCCTAATGAAATCCCTGACAGGCCAAAAAAGGAACAGGGTTAGCTTGTGGGAGGCGCAAATTCCTCCCACAAAATCAAATCTTTCCTGCAATACACTTTTGTGACGATTTTCAACCAAATGAGGGCAAAAGGATGCAACATTTTCTCTTAATAATTAATCCTAACCTCCTTCAATCATACAAAACATGCTATTTAGCAGAGGCTGTTCAAGAGTGCAAGTCTTTTGACACAATCCTCTTTGTATAATTTCTGCTAAACTGCGTAGGTGGCGGCATTGTCAGATTGCAAAGCCATCGTAACTGAAAAGGCGGGGGGAGAATGAGCAAAAGTGTGGGTGGGGGGAGACCCCTGGCGTGACAAGCAAAACAACAACAAATGAGATGCAGTTATCAGCAGCACATTTCAAAAAAAAATTCCAGAGCTATTTTCCAGAGAGGGTGTTGGGGGAAAGGTGCAAGACATGAGGCTGTACAAAAGGATTTTTTATTTACATTTCTGTAACATAAAGCACATGATTTCCCCCAAAGAATCCTGGGAGCTGTAGTTTGATAGAGGTGCCGGGAATTGCAGCTCTGATTTGCAGATGCGACTCAGGAGCTCCTTGGATGACTAGCAGGGATTACTGAGTGGGAAGGTTGTTATTACTAGTTTATATTATATTATATTCATTAGTTCGTTCACCCTAAGGTCCAAATGCAAGTTGCAACAATTAAAACAATATTTAAAACAGTTTAAAACAACTTAAAGTTACAGAAATAAGTTGGGTCCTAAAAATGTGCATCTTAAAGGTCCAAATGACAGGAGAAAGATGCATGTCTTCAGCATTCAAAAAAAGCTGCATAATTTCTGTGGGAAGGGAGTTCCACAACTTGGGGGCTGCCACAGAGAAGGCCCTCTCCCAGGCTGCCATAGGCACACACCCAAAGCTTCTTAGTACCCGAGAGAGATGGTGGTCTTTCAGGTGTTTGAGGCTCTAAACAGCAACACGAGAACTTCGAACTGGGCCTGGAAACAACCGATGATCAATGTAGCTGTGTTAAAATGTGGCATTGTATGAGATCTGAAGCGAACTCCCAGCCATATGGCTGCTGCATAATGGCCCACTGTTGCAATAAATAAATAATAATAGTAATTATTATTATTATTATTATTATTATTATTATTATTTATACCCCGCCCATCTGGCTGGGTTTCCCCAGCCATTCTGGGTGGCTTCCAACAAAATATTAAAATACAATACAGTAGTCCTTCAGATATTAAAAGCTTCCCTAAACAGGGCTGCTTTCAGATGTCTTCTAAAAATCGGGTAGTTTGTTTTTTCCTTTGACATCTAGTGGGAGGGTGTTCCACAGGGCAGGTGCCACTACCGAGAAGGCCCTCTGCCTGGTTCCCTGTAACTTTGCTTTTCGAAGTGAGGGAACCACCAGAAGGCCCTCAGCGCTGGACCTCAGTGTCAGGGTAGAACAATGGGGGTGGATGGACTTCCATAAAAGAGAACTACCAATACTAATCTTCTTGATTGATTATTTAATTTCTACACTGCTTAACATATTGGAAATGTCTGAATGCGGTGCACAAAAAACTAAGGCAACAACAGACAACTTAAACAAAATAGTACAAAAATACAGTTACGTGTAAAAGTGTTGCATTGATGCAAAGTTGTGTGTGTGTGTGTGTGTGTGTGTGTGTGAATTTTCCTTTGACACACCCTTCCTCTCAGCCTCCGGGTTCTCACTCTGGGTTCAAACAAACTCTCAGCTCATCCATAAAAGTCTCACAGTGAGAAGAGGTCCTGGAAATAGTGGACATCAGCCTGGTCTCTCTACACTTGCCTTCTATGGGCAGGCCCAAGGTGGATGGCGCTACCTCAGGCTGCCCACAGTTCTGCCCCATTCATCTGCCCTGTCTACATCTAGTTCCAGGTACAGGAGGTTTGTTGCGTTTCCAGGGGGGTTCAAAGCATGAGGAAAGGGCTCCCCCTCCAGTCACAGCAATCTCTTTGCCCTCTGCAGATAAGTAAATCTAAAAAGTGTTCTTGGATGCTAGAAAGTTTGAAAATCATCAGCCCCTAGTATAAAGTAAGTAGTTTAAACCATAGTCACCCACCATCATTGCACTATATTTCTGGTCTGCTGAAAAATTTTGGCTCTAATGTGGTTCTTCCTTGCCTTTTGTATCCTCCAAAGAAGATTTCCCACAGAGGATGCCAATGTGTGCCTTTAAAGCAGCTATTGTTAAAAATATCCCCTCTAATATTAACAACATGTTTACTTCTTTGTAATCTCATCAACTGTGACATTGTGTAATTGCAGTTTGCTCAAAAGCCTCATCTACCCACTCATTCTTGGAATGAAAAACAACCGAAGGAGCAGCCTCAAACCAAGGATCTCAACCATGAAGCTGAGAATGGCAATGGAACCGACTGGGGCAGCAGCAGGTGTTTAACAAAGAGTTATTACAAGCAGAGATGAGGGAGACATTCGTTCCAGTTCACATTTTAATGTGAACTCACCTAATTCACGCTTCCCAAACGGGTGCTTCTCCAGCCAACGCAGGCATGCACACACACATATATTAGGGGAAAGTGTACAGAAAAAAATAAGTATATCTGTAAATTTATCATGCAAAGGTACAGTATATGAGGGGAAATGGTTTGCAAAACTGCATATACCAGAGGAGATGGGTACCAAAATAAGTATATGTGCCTGAAAATGAAGATGCATTTTCACATAGAGCATTTTTTTTAAAAAAATATATTTTCCTGTTGCAACAGAGCCCCACCACCACCACCTTGCAAGGAGGTGAGAAGGGCACACAGAATATTTTTAAATAAATGAACCACAAACTTATGAGGAAATGGGGTGAACTGAACTCGAGTGTGGAAAAACGAAAAACTAAGAGCAAATTCCAATCAACAGATTCTTCCATTTGTAGTGCCAGGAATAGTCACTCGTCTCAGAGCACAGCCTTAGATCAAGGGATCTTTACAATGACAGTGGCATGTTCCCATACAGTGGTGCCCCGCAAGACGAATGCCTCGCAAGACGGAAAACCCGCTAGACGAAAGGGTTTTCCGTTTTTCGATGCGCTTCGCAGGACGAATTTCCCTATGGGCTTGCTTCGCAAGACGAAAATGTCTTGCGAGTCTTGAGATTTTTTTTCGCTTCCCCCCCCCCCTTTTTCTAAGCCGCTAAGCCGCTAATAGCCTTTTAGCAGCTAAGCAGCTAAGCCGCTAAGCCTTTAATAGCCGCTAAACCGCTAATAGCGCTAATCCGCTAAGCCACTAATAGGGTTGCTTCGCAAGACGAAAAAACCGCTAGACGAAGAGACTCGCGGAACGGATTAATTTCGTCTTGCGAGGCACCACTGTACTTCCAATAATGTTTTACCTTATTGTCCTGACAATTTATTCAGTAGCTCAACCCCTGTGTAGAAGTCTGATCAAGAAAGAAATCTCAGGATAGGATTACACAGAAGAAATCCTCCAACTGTGCAGCATATCAGGACACATACAGGTTTAATTTGCATATGTGATTATCTTTCAGGAAAGAAAGAGATTGGAGTGTGTGTGTGACTTGGCTGGCAAAAGGCAGTTAAGAGTTAAATGAACAGGAAGTGGTTTAGCCTTACCACCCTGAACACACCAGATCTTTTCTAAACTAGGAAAATAAATTTGTTTGTGGGCAGAAGGCCCAATACTCATAGTGAACCAGGCCCAGAAATCCTGTTGGCTGGCTTGGTTACATAACCAGGCTTCCTCAACCTCGCCCCTCCAGATGTTTTGAGACTACAATTCCCATCATGCCTGACCACTGGTCCTGCTAGCTAGGGATCATGGGAGTTGTAGGCCAAAAACATCTGGAGAGCAAAGGTTGAGGAAGCCTGCATAAGACAATACAGTGGTACCTCGGGTTAAGTACTTAATTCATTCCAGAGGCCCGTTCTTAACCTGAAGCACCACTTTAGCTAATGGGGCCTCTTGCTGCCCTCAGGCCATCGGAGCACAATTTCTGTTCCCATCCTGAAGCAAAGTTCTTAACCCGAGGTAATATTTCTGGGTTAGCGGAGTCTGTAACCTGAAGCGTATGTAACCAGAGGTACCACTGTACACAAACAAACAGTATTGTCTACCTTACCCTTCCTCTTTCCCTTTTTTAACTGAGCATCTGAAGTGTTGCTGAAATGCCATTCTGGGGTGCTGGGTTCAACCCCCCTGTCAAAAGCTTGTGATCAGTGTTGTTTCAAGTCACAAAACATGGCAAATGCAAGAATTTTCCTATGATCTGTAAAACTGGGGAAATAGCACGTCAAGGTAGCTGGGCTGACTCAATGCATTTTGCTACCTGGGGCAAAGGACAATATGGTGCCTCCCTCATTACATGTGCAACAGCTGACTAGACTGGCATTTGGATGTTACTTCAACACTGGTAATGAGACAAGAGTCCTCCGCCACACTTAAGGGCAACAAGATAGCTTACAGCATACAAAGCAGGCACACAGCTCTGTCTACTATCCATCACTCAGCATTTGCCACCTGAGGCTGCACCGTGTCTCATGGTAGGGCCGGCCTTCCAAAGCAGAAATACAATTGCATTGCCAGAAGCAGATAAAACCTACAGTACAAGATTTCTTAATTGGTATACTGAATTATTCATCTCTAAAAGAAGCACGTGGGTCTTCTCATGAATGATCCCTAAACAGTAGACTGACTCTAGGCACTGACAAATTTAATGTCTTTCAAAAAATTATATCACATTGTAATTTACAAGCTGAACCAGTTGAACATTCAAATGCTACATTGGTAACATGGAACCATACCCTGGATATGACTTCTAAGAGTTTGGCAAATGAAATTTTGTTCAGTACATGTCTTTATACATGCTATTCAAGTTACAAGACAGCTCAGCTGGAATTCTAGGTAGTAGATTTTGATGCACAATCTCTACTGAGTCTACAGGGCGTGACTAATTCAAATTCTGTACAAATAGTTAATTTAATAGAAACATACCCAGAAGATCGGTGTGATGCTGATATCGATTACAAAAATGTGTTTCAAGGCCCAGGTTGCTAGAGCAGTAGTCCAAAGAAAAAGAAAAGAAAAAATTAACCCAGAACTAACTGATTGTAATCAATGCAGCACAGAAGCTTCTAGTGGCAAGTGATAAAATTTTAAGATAACCAACTCATGGGGGGAGGATGAAGGTGACAGTCATGGTGGAAGAACTACAGAGTAGGTCAATCTAGAGTTGGAGTCAACAAGCCTGGCAGAGACCAGATAACATATCTGAACCCATAATGTCATAATGTATAGAAAGGCTGGAAAGAAGTTGAAATATGAAAGAGGGGCAAAATCCTGGAGAGCCCCTATCTGGAGATGTCAGGAATATATGATCAAATTAATGGTGTTGGTGGCATTAATTATAGCACTGGGCTCCTTGAATATCTATTTGGCAATTATTGTCTACAGCTCATGACTGGAACACGCCGGAATCAATCTTGGCTTACAACACAGGGGCTTTTCCATAATGCTGCACTTATTGCTCAGAGAAAAGCCAAACCACACACACAGCCCTGGGGCATGCACAGAGTTTCAGATGAACCTACTTACTTGGTGGCCGTCTTTCAGCATCAGCCAGGGAATTTGGCAGAGTCATCTGGATGGCAAAGCTCCTGGCTGAGCACACTCAGTATAAGCACAATGTACATTTTAGCAGACAGATATTTACAAGATTGGAATTTGGGACTCTTCAGCTCAAGGAAGTATAGCCAACAGTTAGCTAAAGAACTGTTGAGAATCTTGATGGTGTCATATGGCAGGGATTCATTTTATTTGGTTTTTAATAAATAAATAAATTCTGTCCTACTAAAATAGTGTCCGAGGCAACTTAGCAGATGGATGAGACCTGCAGGTATAGGGCGGTATGCAAATTTCATAAACAAGCAAACAAACCTGATATGACAGAAGTTCAGGTAATTACATAATGACAGGCTAAACAAGTTTGTGATGGATTTTAAGAAAGGAAAGGTGAAAATGAATAAAGAAAAATGTGTACTTGGCAGGTGAGAAATAAAATTATCAATACAGCCAAAGGTGTTTTAAAAACAGATGCAACTAAAACAGAGGCTATATACTTGCAGTGCCTCACTCAAAGAGCAAAGCTGGTCTGCAAAAAGTTATAGGAAAAATCAACAGTAACACCATATTGCAATTGTACGCATGTCTAACCAGACACAAGTTCCTATGAGTTCACCAAGGCTTACTCCCAGGTAAGTGTGCAAAGTATTGTAGCCTTAAAACACAACATTTTGCAAATTTACCCAGAAGTTCCTCTGAGTTCTGTGGGACTTACTCTCTAGCAAGTATTTAGGATTGTAGTGCAACCCTATGCATCTTTACTCAGAATTAAATCCCATTATGTTCAATGGGGCTTATTCCTAGATAAGTATACAAATATTGCAGTTATAGACCCAAAATGTTGAGTTTTTATTGTATACAGCAGCCCGAGGGTGGCCCTTCGAAGTGTGGAAACAGACCACGAAACCACTCGCACCAATTGGGAAGGGGGGAGAATTATATAATGCACTTCCAAGAATTTAAAGATCGCTACCGACAACAACACAGAAATATCAACTGCATATAGTAACCAGACCACACAAACATTTGACAATACTGGCAATCTAAGGACACAGCGGGAACAAGGGGGTGGAGAATGTTCTGAGGAGGCTGATGTTGTTCTACACCCCTTGCGATGTGCTCGCCAACCTCAGAACCAGAACTGAAAGTATGCCATACAGCGTCTTCAATCAGGAATTTCAAACACCTCAATTAGTGGGAAGACGTACCAACAAAGAACCAAAACCAAATTCGAAATCAGTTTGAAGTAAGAGTTGCATAGTATTAGATCAGTTTTACTTGTTTCACATATAAGTCTCTTGAGGCATCATCATTTCGTAAGATCTTAAGAAGATCCCTGCTGGATCAGACCAAAGGCCCATCTAGCATCCTGTGTTCACAGTGACCACCCAGATGCCTCCACAAGCAAGACACAAACACAATAGTATTCCCTTTACTCGTTATTATCAGTAGGTGTATTGGAGGTGTACTACCTCTGTCACTGCAGGTAGTACACAGCCATCAAGGCAAAAAGCCATTGACAGCCTTACCCTCCATGAATTTGTGGGATCTGCTTTGAAAGCCACTCACTGCAATAGCCCACAAACCCAATGCATTGTCGTGGAGACTTGTTTTCTCCACACAGGCTGACAGAGGGAGATGAGCTCCAGCCTAGATATGGGCCTTGATATTGAACTTCCCATCTGTTCTGCCTTCAGCCAACTGCAACAACCTATGACCTTTCTCAAGATTAACCACATAAGGCAATAGTAGTTTGAGCTGCCATAGCATATCTTATACTGTGCACAATAAAGGGTGTCAAAGGTATCCGTCAGTTCAGCTTGGACTGGGACTCAGAAAGAAAACTGTGCCTATACGTACAAAAGTATTAACATCTAGTGTAAATGGATAATTTCGTATCATTTGTGCATAAATATCCCCAATATGTTTAAGTCAATACCTTCCAATTGCACTCGTTTATTAGATACGTCTCAGCAGCTGTGCAATTTACTTCTTGGTTAATAGCAGAGCTTTTCTACCAACTGTCTCTTATTTGGCTGTTGGCAAAATTCAGCCTGCCTTACCTGGCAATTGGATCTCATAACCATTAATGTATACAGGATTTTAGAATTCAGAATACTCCTTGTCTTTCAGAAATGAGGCTGAATATGCTATACAGCACAGATGCTCCCATCTTAAAAAATTAATTGGTGGGATACAGTGCCTGGTTATATTGAAGAAACTATCTAACATGGTTGGGTTGCTTCCCATATTTAATATAAAATGGGTGCCTTTTTTTCTACATTTGATATTGGAAGGTATGCCACAGACATTTCTTAGACATATAGCTCAGCAGCTTTAAGTTCTACCTGGGAATGACTTCCCTATGAGGCTTTTGCACCCCAATAAGAGTTTGGGGTAAGGAAATTCTGGTCTGTGTATGATAGTCCCTTACCTGCAGAAGTCTTCTCATTCAGTTCAGTGTTGCAATAAGCTCTACTCAAAGGCGGAGTACTCAACCAAATGGCTTTCAGCTGTTGTAATATACAGTTACTGATTCACACCTGTGTGCACAAAGCCCTGAGCAACTTACCATGGGAGGAGACCAACCGGCTCCCAGCAGCCTCTGCTTCTCCCCCCCCCCCCCAACTTCCTAGAGCATGCTGGAAGCCCAGAATCTCTCCAAAAGATTTTTGCTGCCAGCATCTTTAAGACTGCATAATTCTCCTGCAAGTTATTTCTTTTTAAGTCATTTGGAACCTTTTTCGTCTATATTTTACTGCCAACAGTTTGGAGGGTTGTTTGCTGCAACTTCGGAAAACTGAGTAAAATTTTCACTTATTTGTAAAGCTAAGTGCAACTTATTCTATCCAAAGTATTTTTGTGGGGAATGTTTGTTTGAAGGTGGGTGAGGTCAGATGTAAATATAAGTTTTAATGTGCTTGGAGCAACTGTCATTGTGCTAAATCTGCTATGAGAGAGTAATGAATCTCTCTTCCAAACCTCTCTCTCTCCAGCATCACCAAGCCTCATAACCTTGTTTGCAATAAGGGGTAAATATTGAGCTATCTTACAGGGTTGTTGTAAGGTAACAAATGCAACCTGAAAGTGCAGTAAAATAATGACTGCTAGCCTTGCCTCCATTTTTTCTCCTTTTCCAATAGTCAGTCAACATTTGTGTGTTTACAGAGCAAGCTCCATTTTCCTTCAGTGTTTTATGGTGGCAGGGTCGCCCACTTCGATTCCCACCCCAAATATCATTACATTTTTTGTTAACTTCCGGAGCATGCCATTACTGCCTTGTTTGTTCATTTGGTTCCAATCCTGTCAGCGCTCCTCACCTAAGTTCACTATTGTGCATAAGAACACCCAAAAGCACTACTTAAGTGCAAAGTATTATAAACGGGTAAGAGCAAAGGTTTAGAGTAATGAAAACATTATCTCACTGCAACTCTCTCCTGCCTCACAGTAATGTCAGTGAAATGAACACTGTGATCCTATATATGTCTGCTCATAAATAGAGTTCTAGATGTACTTCATGTACAGTGGTACCTCGGGGTAAGAACTTAATTCGTTCTGGAGGTCCATTCTTAACCTGAAGCACCACTCTAGCTAATGGGGCCTCCCGCTGCCGCCGCACCGCCAGAGCATGATTTCTGTTCTTAACCTGAAGCAAAGTTCTTAACCCAAGGTACTATTTCTGGGTTAGTGGAGTCTAACCTGAAGCGTATGTAACCCGAGGTACCACTGTACAACCTAGTTAAACTATGTGACTTGCTCGCATAAGGGAGCAGCCATCTTTGATGGCTTTAAAATAGGATTGGACAAATTCATGGAGGAGCAGACTATTGATGACTACCATCCATGATGGTTCTTGCTCTGCCTCCATGGTCAGAGGCAAAACAGTTCCTGGAAACCACAGAGAGGGAAAGTGATATTGCACTCGGGACTTGTTTGTGGCGTTTTTTGTGAAATGCCGTGAGGCATTTTTTGTGAAATGCCCCGAGATCTTCAGTGTGGTGTAGTGGTTAAGAGTGGTGGACTCGTAATCTGGGGAACTGGGTTCGATTCCCTGTTCCTCCACATGCAGCTGCTGGGTGACCTTGGGCCAGTCACACTTCTTTGAAGTCTCTCAGCCCCACTCACCTCACAGAGTGTTTGTTGTGGGGGAGGAAGGGAAAGGAGAATGTTAGCCGCTTTGAGACTCCTTCGGGTAGTGATAAAGTGGGATATCAAATCCAAACTCCTCCTCCTATACAAATTTAATAAATCTTCATTATCATCCTCATCTGGTTGGCCACAGTGAGGATAGGATTTCAAATGGCCTCTGATTTCAAATGGCCTCCCTCCCAGTTTAAGCAGCATTACCCACACCCCCAAACTTGAAGCCGATACCACGGTTTATGTCTGGTGCATCAGGGATGGCATTTTACTTGCCAAGCAATAGGAGTTCTGTATGCTTCATAACAGTCACTGAATTAGCACTTCTAGCCCATAGAAAAGCTACTGATACTCTAGATCAAAGCGCATGCTGTGAACATCCTGGGGTCACATTTGGGCAACAATTTTGTTGACAAAGGCAACAGAGGAAGCGGGAATTCTGTTAACTAGTCCGCAACCTAGTCTTGGAACCCCTGCTGAGAATAATATTACCATATACAGAATGGCATTTATTTCTAATGCCTCCTCTTCTGAGCTCTGTACCATATGCTGCTTTTTTTGCAGCAGCAGCAATAATAATGATAATAATAATAATAATAATAAAAAGAATGATGATAATAATAATAAATTAAAAAGAAAATACCCCAGCGGTCTCCGCGTTCAGTGCAAATCCTACAAGGTTTTCCTGAACAAATAGCAGATAGTGACCTTTTGGCCTTTGTTTTGCATGAGAATTAACATCAGTATTCAGTAGTTACTACTGTGACTAGGGACTACTGCAAATGCCAGATTCTGATTTAAAACTCGGGTGTGTGTGTGTTTTTTAAGAACCCAGAAGAAAAGGGGGTCTTTGAAGCTCATCTGCATTACAGATCAGGCCTCTCTGAGAAAATCAACCATCCATAATTCATTACATGTTTCCTGCAGGGCTTGGAGACAGCAGCGATCCTAGCAACAGCAGAGTCATAGCAACAGCTGCAAAGCCGGCCAATCCAGCGTCATCCTTCCTTATGCAACGTAACCAATCAGAATGGGGAGCACCAGGCTGAAATGTTGTCAGCCAACTGGTTATTCTGTCATAAGCCTAGTTTTTAAACTAATGTGTGCTATTGGAATTTTCACTAGCATGCTGAAGGGGAAAAGGTCTGAAGCCATTTTTTTGCTGAAACGTAGAATGAAATGAAATGCAAAATTGTGGACTTGAAAAAATTCTCCATTCCTCCAAATTTTTAGCCCAGTGCATCAATTAAGTATATTTAGACTACTCCAGTGTACTATCACTTTCATATGGAGCTCATCACAATATCACTGGTCAAAATGGTTTTCATTATGATAAAACAGCACATTTTACAGACTTTTAGGCTGCAATCCTAGATCCGTTTACCTGGCAGTAAGCCCTATTTAACTCTGTGGGACATAATTTTGAGGAGATATATTTAGGATTGCATTGCCAAACTTTCACATTTATTCCTCCATCGCTGCTTCCTGAATGATTTTCCATATTTTATAATGTGTTTCTGCTTAGCCACAAAACTACAGAAATAATCATTTGGGGTGGGGTGGAAATACAAAAGGTGCCATACGTTGCTTAAGAGCTTGGTTAATTGTGACTAGTTGTTCCCCTCCATTGTGATGTCAAAACAGCAATGCTTTCGCAATCTAAAACATAACACATTAAAAATCAGAGATCTGCTTTTGAAATGCTTTGCTGTTTTGATTCTTTAATACAAACTGCTGCGGTAATTACAATTTTAGTGGTATTCTCCTTGGGATGCTAATAGTTTACTGAGCATCATGTGATGTGATGTTTGTCCTGAAAACACATAGTTGAGAACAAAGAAAATAAATTGTCTATGGGCGTATGGAAACAAATGGAGATCAGAAACCGTATCATACTCACTTGAGCAGAACTTACAATTTTAAAACCGCCTGAGTCTTCGCAGACACCACTCTGCTATATTTCATAGCTGGTAAGGATGCTGGAAAATGTTTACAAACAGGATACTGATTACCATATTTTTCCATGTATAAGACGCCCCCTATTTTGGGGGACTCAACATGAAGAAAATGCACTATGCACTATTGTGTATAAGACGATCCCTTATTTTAAACTTCAAAAATTTAGGAAAAAATATAGTCTTATACACTGAAAAATATGGTATTTTCTTTGTTGTTGTTGTTGTTTAGTCGTTTAGTCGTGTCCAACTCTTCATGACCCCATGAACCAGAACATGCATGCCTTGGAAACTCTCACTTTCTTCTCAAAGCTTCTCCTTTTTTATGTCCATGGAGTTTTCTTGGCAAGGCACTCCTGTCTTCCACTGCCTCCCGCAGTTTGGTCAAACTCATGTTGGTAGCTTGGAGAACACTGTCCAACCATCTCATCCTCTGCCGTCCCCTTCTCCTTGTGCCTGCAATCTTTCCCAACATCAGGGTCTTTTCCAGGGAGTCTTCTCTTCTCATGAGGTGGCCAAAGTATTGGAGCCTCAGCTTCAGGATCTGTCCTTCCAGTGAGCACTCAGGACTGATTTCCTTAAGAATGGGTAGGTTTGATCTTCTTGCAGTTCATGGGACTCTCAAGAGTATTTTCTTTAGGAAGGTTCAATAACTTATAGTTGGGTGTTGAACCAGCACCCCTTCAAGTGGCGTTGGACCACTACTCTCCACCTGCATGGTCAGTACCAGATTTACATATAAGCTAAACAAGCTACAGCTTAGGGCCCCAAAAAAATAATTTAAAGGAAAAGAAACTGGATGTGCATTTCCAAAATGTAAGATAAAAAACAAATAAAATAAAACCTTCATACAGCAACAGTGCATTGTGTTGTGTAGGCTCCTATTTGTTATGTGCAAATGGCTTTAGATACCTATTAGGCCCATAAATTACCATATAGCATATATGCAACACAAAAAACAGCGACAATTTGTTGTTGACAAAGGACAGCTGGACATATAAAGGGCCCCATTACCTTCAGTAGCTTAGGGCCTCATCAAACCTAAATCTGGCCCTGTGCATGGTGGATGATCAGGGGCAATGGAAGCTGAAGTTCAACAACATACAGAAGGCCACAGGTTTCCCATGCCTAGCATGCCAAGTAAAAAAAGACGTGGCTCCTGCATTGTCAAGAACTAGCAGTAAATGACACTGTGGAAGTGTGCACTCTTTATTAGCAAGAACATGATCTGTGCAGACTTGGCAGAGTGTCAGGCCTAATATGCACAGCAGCTCATCCCCGGTTGGTCTTGAACCCATGGATCAACTGCAGAGACTGAAAGTCCCTACCTCCCCACAGCTGCCTAAGTCCCCTCCTTTTCCAGGGTTTATCCCAAGCAATTGGAGACTGTGCCTACATGAAGCCAACCTGTCCTCTGCCCTTTTCATGCCTCTTCTGGTTCTGGGAGACCAGAGGGGAGGGGAGCTTGCTGCAACAGCAGCAGGGGGAAGACACCCATATCTCTTCTCTGCCTCTTGGCCTCCCTCCCTCCTCCCTTGCTTCAGCTTCTGCCTCCAATTCTGGACTTCTCTCTGCCAGACACTTCCCCAGCTCATTATGCAGTGTTACCTCTTCAGCTCCTGACACCTCCTCTTCCCTGTGACCACTCATCATTGTCCCACCACCACTCCCCAGACTTTCAGCCCTCTTCCCTTGGTGGTTCACCAGCTGGTTTCACCCCCCATTCCTCTACGTCCAGCCTTTCCATGGCACACACCTTCAATAGTTGTGTTGGTATAAGAAAGGAAAGGGATGCGGGTGGCGCTGTGGGTTAAACCACAGAGCCTAGGACTTGCCGATCAGAAGGTCGGCGGTTCGAATCCCCGTGACGGGGTGAGCTCCCGTTGCTCGGTCCCTGCTCCTGCCAACCTAGCAGTTCGAAAGCATGTCAAAGTGCAAGTAGATAAATAGGTACCGCTCCAGCGGGAAGGTAAACGGTGTTTCCGTACGCTGCTCTGGTTCGCCAGAAGCGGTAGTCATGTTGGCCACATGACCAGCTGTACGCCGGCTCCCTCGGCCAATAAAGTGAGATGAGCGCCGCAACCCCAGAGTCGGTCACGACTGGACCAAATGGTATGGGGTCCCTTTACTTTACCTTAAGAAAGGAAGCACTCTTTGTCACCTGTCCACTATAAGTGCTTGGCTGCAGAGGGAGGAGAGAGACACAGAGAGTTGCCAGAAGCCAGCCCCAGATGGTGATTAAAGATTTATTTCACCAGAAACATGTTTCTGTGTAACACATTTTTATCTTATCTAAGAAAATTAGAATAATACAACAGAGAATATCTGAAATCGTTTTTTTAGACAGGGAGGGTACCCACAATGTTCCACATAAACACATGTGCTGTACAATAATATAGTTATATAAATCTTGCCAGCGGGCATTATCTTCGACTTCATATCTTTAGGGGGAAATGAAAAGCAATCATTCATCTTTACCTTAACGTTACCACTTGAAGGAAAGATACGAGAGGTTATCTCTGGTGAAGCCTTGGCCCACAGCCGAGAAATCTCAGAGAAATTCCACCTGAGTGCCTCTGTTTCTCTCCATGAGTGAAAGAAGATTTACTAAGGATGCTTCAGAATGTATTTTGAGGCCAATTGCCCTATTCTGAACTTTCCAGATGATACATAAATTGACCAAAACTGTGAAGATTGTCAAAGCACAACTGGAATGAACACACACGTGTGTGTGTGTGTGTGTGTGTGTGTGTGTGTTCATCTATGCATTTTATAAAAAATCTGCTTTTCCAGTAGCGACTTTTCAGATGCTAGAGATTAAAATAAATTACCAAGTACTTCATAATACTGCAAGCAGAAAGGAAGATTCTGGATGTAATCATTCCAGGTCTGTGTAAAAATAATTACTGGTTTGTGTAGGGATGTACATGTTTTTCAACTGTTTAGAACTCTTACAGGTCTGAGGTGTTGACATTCAAATCAAAATGTTTGTGTTACCTGGTTATGAAAGAAAACTTAAGAACTGTGGCTCTGAAAACATAATTACTGTCAATAAACTGAAATTTACATTTTATTTCTTTTCTTGGGGTGGTTCTTTTTGGCAATTGTGTATTTTGGTTGCAATTAGACAGTAATGAATGGAGGGGGAGGAGTGTACATCAGGCCCATAACTATTCATTAAGCTAATCTAATGAACCCTTTGGTCTGCATAGTTAAAAATAAGAAATTGCCTCATAGGATGGTTAAGTGGTCCCATACCTTCATCCTTAACTTTGACAGCTTCAATGTAGAGCTGGGAGGCATCCTCAAACCAAAAAGCACACAGCTCTCTAATGAGCTGGTAGAATCATACAACTTAAGCTAATGAATTTCTTATCCTCTTAGACTGATTTTTTTAAAAAAAAGTTTTCTGGGAGAAGTCAAAAGATCTCAGCATTTTAAAAGTGGATTTGTACTTTCCATTCCAGAGAAGAAGAAAAGAATCTCAACAATGGATAAAACTCACAGCATAATTCTGAACGAACAATTGTGTGACAATAGCTTGACTAAAACATGATTAGTGTGTGGGGAAAGGCCTCTTCTGTGATTTGTTGAAGACACCATGCAATGCACAGACACAAATACCCACCATGGCACTGAAAATATGTGAGTTCATTGCAATGTAAAATGCCTACTGATTCTGCATTTCATAATATTGTTCTGCAAGCACAGACGCACACACTTCCCTGAACTGTATGTAGCTTTCAGAGCCGCCGTTTATAGGACTTTACAGTCCTGAAGACTTAGAATTATCTATGAAGATTTGTGACGTATTTTCTGAGAGCTACTTACTTATAGGTATTCAAACTGAGCATGGGGAACAAGCCAGCTACTGAACTGAAAATCATTAGCAAGTTTGACACTATGGAATTTGGACTCAATAGCCACTAGGGGCAGCTCATTTTCTGCAGAAATCAATTGCTCCTCTCTATGGGTGTTTACACTACCAGTCTTGCTGTGCCTACTTACCACCATGTTGCACTATTCACATAGTTTACTAGGGCTCCTACATTCTGCTCAACAGATGCACACCCTTGATGCCTCCATTCTGCACTTTGTTCTCCATATTCGATCCATTCCCAGGTTACGTTGCTTTGCAGTATTGTAAAACTATAGCACTTCTCTCCCTCCCTCTCCAGCTTTGATCATCACTCGCCTCAACTACTGCAATTTTCTGGTCTCTGATATTCCACTGCCGCCTCATGTCTATCTAGCACTCACCTGCATAAATCATTCACCTGACACAATGCCCCTCCTACAAATCCCTATTTTATGGCCTCCATAGGCCCGCTTATTTGGAGGGGACAAACCATGGTTTATCATGCATGAGTGTATTGCTTCCACTTTGCTCCAGTTCAAGCTAGGCAGAAGCCAACTACAGTCTTAGCATTCTTTCCAAACAAGGGATCATGGTTTGTTTCACTCTTATTAACTACGATCAGTAAACGAAGGGCAAACCTTGGCTACAGATCATGGTTTGCTGGCATGAAACAAACCATGATCCCTGATTTGGACAGAACGCTAAGCTAGGGGCCATGATCTGTTTCCTCCCACTGCAAGTAGGAAGCAGCAAAGCAGTTCAGTCTGGTGTTTTCATGGCAAACCATTAACTGTGGTTTACCATGGTGTGCGAACTAGGTCAATCAGTCAACATATGCAGTGAAGGTGAGAAAGGGGCCAAAATGTTATTTTATAATACTACAATTAGCCAAATCCATACAGGAAACTCCCTGTTTGCACAGGGGTGGTGTTCCGGGTCATTGTGCACCTGCAAGAAATTGCAGGGTTTTTCAATGGATGTTCCGATTATACACACAAACAACCTGTTCTGCCCCTGCCCCAACCCATTCTGCCTCTTTTTTGTGATGTTTTTGGGTGACTTCCAGGTTCGGTGTGATACACATGCGTGCATGTGTGCATGTGTGCGTCATGCACATATCGGACGTGCCTAAAATGGTTGCGGTGTTATACCATATTAATTTCTCTGTAGACCAAAAATAAACAGGAATTAAGCTGTTATACTATGAAATGTGACTGATTCCCCTGCTCTCGTTCTAGTCAAGCAGAACATTTCTTTTGACCATTGCAGTCAGGCCAAATACCGTATTTTAACCTATTTGCCACCACAATCTCTCTCCACAGCCCAACGTAGACTGCCTTGGTCGCTTCTGTCAAAATGAGGACAGGCTTCACGGAAGGAACAAAGGCCTCTCTCCCTTTTAGTCATTGTGTCCTTCCGAAAAAAAGAGAGAAGGGGCCCTCCTCAGGTAATTAATGCCCTGTGATTAGTTCCCCTCTCTCTCTATTTATTCAGGAGTGGGGAGAGAGGCCCAAGAGATCTCTTCACTATATGTGTGTGGAAGAGGGACAGGTCAAGGAGAAGGAGCAGCCTCAGAGGCAGCCGTGGCATTGACAGAGCCTGTCCATTCTCTTTGGTAAGGAGGGGATCAGAGGAAATAAGTCTTCCTACCCTCCTTCTGGAGAGGAATCCAGACTGGGAAATAATGGCTGGCCTGCACTCAGACATTCCAAAGAAATCAAGGAATACCAGCCTCTTTTCCTTCGTTTCTTCCCTTTACATATGAAGGCAAAGAGGAGGGGGAAACAATTTGGCAATTATTATTTCTGAAAAGAGGGGTTCTCCGAAATGGGAAGACCTTTGATGATGGTGATGATGAGTCTTCCTTCATAGGAAGTTTTTTTTTTAAAAAAAAAAAAAGCAAAACCATTCATGCCAAGGGAAGCCAGAAAAATTTCTTCGTGGGACAGCATGAGACTCACAGGTTTGCTGAATGGGAAGCAAATAGGGAGGGAGGGCGGAGAGAAGGCATAGCCCCATAACAACTCCCTTTGTAAGACACAGAAAAGGCCAAGCCATCCATTTGAAGAAACAAGGGGGGGGGGCTGGCTATGAATGTGTTGTTGAGAATGGAAGAGATCAGAGGGACATAAAAAGGAATATGGCTTCTCGGTTCTCAGATGAACATTGCCCAGTCTGTATTTACTGAACCTATGGAACCTGTTTTTGTTTAACAAGGCTTGCTCTGAGGTGTGACCCAGTCATTCTTGGGGCATTAATTGTACATCTGTAACGATGAGTTCATATTTTTTTTAAGGGTTTGTAGGAATGGTTTTTTGTTTTCAGAACGTGCCATTTTTATTTTTGGCATTTTCTCTGATGTTTGTCTTGTTGCATACCTGTTTGCAATAATAGCAAAACAAAACACTAATACTGCAACAAACAAACAAACACACACACATATATATATACAGAGAGAAGAGAGAGGAAGAGAGAGACCATCATCATCATCACATCCCACTCGGAGTGAGTTAACGGAATGACCTTTGGTTTGCTCCTCTATGGGGAGTCTGAGAAAATGACCCCTGACCTTTAGCTCAATGGGAGCTCAGGAGAGGTCAGGAGGAATAACTCTCACCGCAATCTCTCTCTCCACAGGAGTTTGAAGGGGGGTGGACCTCAAGAACTGAGGAGTATGTGATCAGCAAAACTTTGCAGCATTTCTGAAGATAAAAAAAGCAGGCAGAGGGGGGAGGGGAGGTGATATGTTTAGCTACAGTCCCTTGGGGTGGGGGTGGGGGAATCACCTACCATTGAGAAACAAATAAACCCATTTCAAGCAAGAATATACCTCGACTCTTTGACTTGCAAATCAGGAAAAAGACAAGCAGGAGGGGGGCGGGGGAAGGGAGGAGACCCAGGATGTAGTTCAAAATCAGGGTGTTCCCCTCTGAAGAGATGCAATCAAGGCTCCCAGCCATCAGGCACAATAGTTCTGCTTAAAGGAAGCAGCTCGGAATTAAGCAGAGTGCTTTTTTGTTTTAATGAGGTGATCTTTCCCCCACAATTACAAAATGCCTTTGCTGAATGTAGCATCAACTAAAGGGGGGAAATCTGGATTGTTTGATGGGGAATTATCATCAAGGGCATATGAATTAAAACTTCAAATCTCCACTATGTTTCTTTCTTTGTCTCCCAAGAGTCCATACAGAAATCAACTGGCAACACTAGCTAGATGCTCAAGAATGATTTTTTTTCAACAACAACAAAAAGACTACAGAATATACCGCACTCCAGATCTTTCCCAATCAAGCCACACAGCTGTAAAGGTTCCTGTCTTTATAGGCAAGGCTGTTATTTAACAGAAACGATATCTTGCTTTCAGCAATGGTTTGATGTCTCTGCCCATTAAGTCATAACCATACCAGCTAAAGCAGAGGAAAAGGCTCTTTAAGCGCTTTCTTGCACATGTGCTTTTGCTATATGTTTGCAACATCATGCTATAAACCATGTAGCAGGAAGCTCCAGACTCAAACTCCTCCTATCCCCACACAGCTGATCTTTCTGGTTTTCGTTAACCATAGTTGCTGGCTTAGACGACAAGGCGAACTTCAGATAACACTAACCATGGTTAGTTTCACAAGCCAGCTTCATAACTCATGCTTTGAAGCTGGCTTGTTTGAAACAAACCATAGAGAATGTTGCCCACGGTTTGCCATCCCAGACGACATGGCGCCAAACATACACAAGCCTTCTGGGAACTCTCCAAAGCTATTCAGAACCCCAGGTTAGCTGGGTTCCCACCCCAGACTTTTCTCCAACTCACTGAGAGTAACAAAGCATAATGAAATGGAGAAGGGGGAGCTTAGTGTGTTGTGTGTGGTTGGTGCCCACCCACAAACCCATCACCTTAAGTCAGTGCTTGAAACCTAATCCTGTTCAAGGCAGGCTTAACTCTTCTTGTCCTGGACTAGAAGTAACTGGCCCATGCTCTGGTGACATTCAGATTAGATTGCTGCCATATGCTCTGGGCTTGCCCTCCTACTAACCGCCGGTCCAAAGAGTGGCACTGCTTATCAACAATAAGAATCTTCCTTCTCCTTCTCCTCCCAGTGTTGTTGCCCTTGTAGAACTCAGCAGGGAAGATGACAGGGGCAAAACTGGAATTAATAGACTCCACCTCTCATTAGCTCTGGCCCCACCTGCTCCAAGGTCACGGCCACTACTGGACAAAGCCAAACAACATGAAGATTGTAAGAAGATGGAAAAACAGTTGTTGTTGTTTAGCCTTAACCGGACCAGGCTGTGCTGAGCAAAACACAGATTTAAGGTTGCACCAAGGGCTACTGAGGTGGAGAAATTGCAATGGGTGCTCCCCTACCAATAAATAAATGCATACATAAATAAGGAAGTCAACCGTTATTTGGATGTGTCTCTTGCCAAGCAGAACACCTGGATCCCTTGTGAAAGCAAACAGCAGACATAAATAAAAGGAAACATGGTGGCCCTTATAGAAGTAATGCTGAAGTATAATTTTATGTGGCACAGGAGTGGGGTTTTTTCCTAATGGAATAACCCCTCTACTGATGATGACTTTCTTTTGGATATTCAGAAATGACTGACAGTTGCACAGAATAGTCGGGAAAGGAGATTTGTCCTTCTCTTCATCTTTTGTTTCTCTTCCTTTTATTTTCTTCTTTCCCTCCATCTTCCCCCATCTGGACTCGTAATTAGCATTTGATTTCCACAATTCCCTGCAATCTTGCATGTTCTTTTCTGAAACAGCATGTGTTCTATCTTCATGGGAAATCAAAGTGGCATCATGTTTACATTTCAGCAATGTGTGTCACAGAAATTAATTTAGCCATACGTGCACAAAGACACCTTTGAAACTGAAGGGGGGAGGGAGGGAGAGGAAAACATTAAAAGGAAGTGCCTAGCTGAGCACTAGCAACATAGCGGGGACAGACAAAGGAGACTGGTGAGCATATCTGGCAAACAAAAATGCACAAAGAGTTCAGACTGCCTTGTTCTATAGTGTAGGGCCTCCCTTCTACAGTGGTGCCTCAGGTTACAGATGCTTCAGGTTACAGACTCCACTAACCCAGAAATAGTATCTTGGGTTAAGAACTTTGCTTCAGGATGAGAACAGAAATCACGCAGCGCCAGCTGGAAGCCCCATTAGCTAAAGTGGTACCTCAGGTTAAGAACAGTTTCAGGTTACAAACGGACCTCCAGAACGAATTAAGTTCTTAACCCGAGGTACTACTGCATTTCTAAATCAGGGGTGTTGGGGAGCCTGTCTTAGTCTGGGGGTGACATTCCCTTCTGGAGTCCAAATGTCAGTTGAGGGCAGGGCCATAGGCAAAAGTAAACAGAGCTATAAATATGAAACTTACCTTGGGACAACAGGCTTGTTCCTTCACACTCACACATCCCTCCCTGCAGGAAAACAAGAGGTGTAATCATAGATCAAGGACGCATTCCAGTAAAAACACATTAGGAGGGTGCGAAGCAATGTTGTGAGGCTCAGGAAGGTGTGTTGTCTGGAAAGCAGGCTGAGGGCCAGGTAGGGAGGCCTGCAAGGCTGCATTTGCTCACCACCGACCCCCAGCCTGAGGTCCCCCATCTAAAAGAACTCATTAACAGCATAACCTAGAAATCCGTAGTTCAAATCTCAGCCTAGCCACAAACTGGGTGCCTTTGTAAGCTAGCATTTGTCACCCTCAGTCTGCGGCTCCATGCGCACTATACCTTTAAAGCACACTGGAAGCACATTTTCTTCTCAAAGAATTCTGGGCCCTGCAATTTGTCAAGGGTTGCTGGAAATTGTAACTCTATGGAGGGGCAAACTAAATTGCCCAGGATCCTTTGAGAGAAATAATGTGCTTCGAAAGTGCTTTAAAGGTATCGTGTGTACGCAGCCTCCTTTACAGAACGGCATCGCCAGTGGTGGCGCTCAAATTTCAGCAACACCCTGGACAACGCTAAAATGTGGTGCTCACACACTCCTCTCGTGGCTCCATTCTGCGCCGTTGTTGCAGTGCCCCCAGTGTGGCTGAATGGGTCACACTACCCTAAAACCACCTGTGCCATGGCCATGGTGATACCTAACTTTGTATACATACACACACATACACCCGCACACAGTGCAACGGGTGTGAAGGGGTGGGCCATTTGAGTCTGGCTCTACAGACCTACTTTCTGAGGCTTTGCAGACCTAGGCCCAGACTTACTTAAAATGATGGGTGGTTAGTTTGGGCCCGATTGTTGAATTTTGGAATTTTTGGCCTCTTTGATACACTTCTCAGGCACCCACTTACATTCCCAAGCACTGCAAAATGGGTTATTCTAATCACATGGATTATGATAATATTTCTTTTTTATATAAAAAAAATCTCTTGGTCATTAAGAAGTATTCATACTACTTTAATAAAGGAAATTCTGACATTGGAGTTCCCAATTGTATACTAAAAAAATGTAATCCCTTTCTGTCTGGTGGAGTTCTTGAGACACATCTACAAATTGCAATTTTCTTATAGGTTTAAGGAAACTTCTTTCATACCACTGAAATACAGAGAGGGAGAATTTAAGGGTTTCCTGTCAATTAAACAGCCTGTTGCTTAATTAAAAAAAACAACCCCAAGATAATGAATACTCCTAGGAAGTTCAGCACCAACTGAACAAGAAGAATGCTAATATGTTCTTGAGTGCTTTTGTTTAGTGCATATAATTATAAATTATAACAGAGATATCAAGAACATGATGTGGACCAGAGAACAGAATATCTGGAAAGACGTTATTCAAAAGTAGGAAAGATTTTCTTCATTGAGATAACTACCTGTCAGGGAACTGCCATCGGAAGGAAGGGAGGTGAAAGGGCTCACACAGGTTGGGAGAGACTCAGCAGCTGAAGAGGGAACCAGTAGGGGGAGAGGAGCTGAGCTGAGGGAAAGTGAGCTGGAGGGATGGCTCAGAGACACTTCCAGCGAAAACAGTGGGGAGGTTTCAGGACCTCCTGTAGGAACACCCACTCCTCGCCGGAAACTGTCACGCAGAGAGTCCAGAAGACGTGTTTCCGTTAAGGAGCTTTTATGTTGGAAGCGATTCCAAAGCAACCACTGTCGGAATCTGCTAGTGACTAGAGGAGCCATGTCTGAGGGGCTCCGTCACAGACAGAGGTTTGTGGACTTGAACAAACTCTGAGGGGATACTATTTTACGCACAAGCAGCTCCTCATCCCATCACAGCATTCCGACAGTCTTTGAAAGCAGCTTGTGCAGGAGAAGGCATCATGAGCAACCCAGCCGGAACCGGAGAAGCAGGAGCTGGAGCGGGTCCAAGCCTGGAAGAAAGGTACCGGGTGTTGGAGGTCCAGCTAGCGCTGCAGACGGCGAGGCTTGAGGAGAGGAGGGCTCAGGATGCAGACAAAAGGGAAAGCCACCCAGCTCGCCAGAAAGGTACCAGGATTGGTGCAGAAGTTTGGGGGGGAGCCCAAAGACTATCATGGCTTTCGGACAGAGATGCAATATGCCCTCAATCTGCAGTTTGATGAATTCCCTGACGAGGAATCACGAGTGGCTTTCGTGATTGGGCATCTTGAAAAGGGGGCGAGAGACTGGGTTAGACCCCTGATGGCAGCGAATAGTGACGTCCTAAAGGACACGATGAAGTTCTTTCGCGCCATGGATCTGATGTTTTCCAGCGATATTGAACAGGGAGTGGTGCGCAGACAGTTAATGGCTTGCAAACAGGGGAGCCGATCTGTCCGTGAGTACTGGACTGAGTTCACCATGCTGGTTCACAGATTGGGGTGGGACTTATCGGCGGAACCCATTCAAATGCTCTTTGAAGAAGGGCTTTCTTCGGCTGTGAAAGACGAACTTTCCCGGGCGCCCAGGGCGGAGTCTATGGACCAGCTGACCAAATCAGCGCTGACCATAGGAGCGCGCCAGGAGGCGAGAGCATTGGAGAGGCGGGAAGGGAAGGGGAACGTTGGAAGGAGTTCCGCATTCCAGACATTCCAGAGCCAACTTTCCCGCCGGCAGAGCCGATGGAAATCGGAACAGCGCGCGCGCGCAGTTTCAAAGCCCAGTGAGGGGGAAAGAAGGAGGGAAAACGCGCCCGGAAATGCTATCTCTGCCAACAGCCAGGTCACTTTGCCAGAGTCTGCCCCCAGAGGAAGGAATGGCAAGGGATGGTAGGAGCTGTGGAGGGAAGAGAGGAAGAAATACCGGAGCAAGTAAAAGCCAACGCCTGGCTGCCACCGTCGGGGCACAGCAGCCAGGCCAAAGAGCAGTGAGAGTGCCCACGCCAGAACCTCCTAAACCCGCCCTAGTGATAGAAGTGGCGCTAGAGCTGCCAAACGGACACCCTCTAAAGATAAAGGCGCTGTTGGACTCAGGCAGCTCCTGCAATTTCATGAGCAAAGAGTTTGCAGCTGAACACCAGATACAGACGATCCCTTTAAGCAACCCCCTGCAGGTGACCACGATCGATGGCAGGGAGCTGTTGGGAGGAGAAGTCAGCTTGCAGACCGTCCCAATGATAATGAAGGTGGCAAGACACACCGAACTGATAGCGTTTAATGTGGCCACCTTGGGAGGAGCTCCCATTATATTGGGGATGAGCTGGCTAGCGTTACATGATCCGCTGGTGGGCTGGCATCAGAGAGTGGTTTCTTTTGGTTCAGCACATTGCTTAGAACACTGCAAAGAGGGAAAGGGTTTGGCAGGGGCCCAAGCCACCCTAGCAGGGACTGAAGTAACGGAGAACGTGAAGGTACCACGACAATACGCAGATCTCCGCGACGTCTTCAGCGAAAGGGAAGCTGACCAACTACCCCCGCATAGACCCTTTGACTGTCAAATCAATTTACTCCCTGGGGCACAGCTCCCTGTAGGCAAGCTGTACGCCATGTCAGACAGAGAGATGCAGGAGCTAAGAGAGTTCATTGACAAGAACCTGAAGAGAGGGTTCATCAGAGAGTCCAGGGCGGTGGGGGCAGCCCAGTGTTTTTGTGGATAAGAAAAACACGAACAAGCCGAGGCTGGTGTGTGACTTCAGGGCCTTAAATGCAGTGTCAGAACCAGTGGCCTTCCCTATGCCCAGGATTGACGACATTTTGACAAGGGTGCGGAAGGGAAAGATTTTCACAAAGCTGGACCTAAGGGGGGCGTACAACCTGATACGAATAAGGAAGGGGGATGAATGGAAAACCACCATGTTCACCCCTTTAGGGGCATTTGAATATTTGGTTATGCCCTTCGGCCTACAAGCAGGCTCCGCAACCTTTCAATCGTTTATGAACCACGTCCTGGGGCCTTTGCTTTACAAGAATTGTGTGGCCTTCTTAGACGACGTGTTGGTGTATTCTGAGAATGAGGAGCAGCATGTGAAAGACGTCAGAGAAGTGTTGAGCAGGCTGCAAGCCAACCAGCTGTGGGTGAAACTGGAGAAGTGTCAGTTTCATACCAAGGAGGTGGAATTCCTGGGGTATCGCCTGTCAGACAAGGGATTGGCCATGGATCCCGGCAAGGTCCAGGCGGTGCTGGAATGGAAAACACCCAAAACAAGGAAGGATGTGCAGAGGTTCCTAGGATTTGGGAACTTCTATCGTAAGTTCATCCGAAACTTTGCCCACCTGACGGCGCCCATTACGGACTGTCTCAGCAGTAAGAAGAAGTTCGTTTGGACTGAGGAGGCGGAGCGAGCATTTGAGGAACTAAAAGGGCCTTCGCCTCGGAACAACAAATCCTGCATGTGGATTTACAAAAACCGATGAGAGTGGAAACTGACGCATCAGACAGAGCGATTGGGGCGGTGCTTCTGCAGCCAGGGAAGGAGGAGTCAGAGTGGAGACCGTGTGCTTTTTTCGCGAAAGCTGAACAAATCCGAGAGGAACTACACGGTGTATGACCGAGAACTACTAGCCATTCATGAGGCGTTCCGGAGATGGAGGCACCTGCTAATTGGCGCACAACATAAGGTGCAAGTGTGCACTGACCACAAGAACCTAGAGTATTGGAGGACGGCACGAGTGCTCAACCAACGGCAAGTGAGATGGGCCCAGGAGTTCTCCAAATTTAACTTTGAGATTGGTTACGTGCCAGGCCCAGAGAACATTAGGGCGGACGCTCTCTCACGCAAACCTGAATATTTGGAGGGGAGGGAGCACCCGAAGAGAGACATGTCATTCCAGAGGACCGCTGGGTGTGTGGGGCGGCATTGGTGGGACAAAGAGAACTGGTAGAGGAAACAGAGAATGATGAATACGCCCAGAATAAGCTCAGAGGTCTTAGGGGTGAGGGAGAGGAACCAGGGGGTTTCGAGGAAAGAAATGGAGCTTTGTATTACAAAGGGGCACTGTATATCCCTGAAGGAGACTTAAGGGGAGGGTACTCAAGCAGTTGCACGACAGCCCTACGGCGGGGCATTTTGGACAACACAAAACCATGTGGTTGGTCACCAGGGAATTTTGGTGGCCTAAGGTGAGGGAAGATGTACGTGAGTATGTAAGAGGGTGCGAGCAATGCCAGCGAGCCAAAGGGGAAAGGCGGGCGCCGGCCGGGCTATTAGAACCCTAACCAACCCCAGAACGACCTTGGGAGGCAGTGTCGATAGATATTATGACTGATCTGCCGAAGTCCAAAGGAAAACAGCCATCATGGTGGTGGTAGACCTACTAACAAAGATGTGCCACTTTGTAGCTTGCTCGCATGCAGTCACGGCGGAAGAGACAGCGAAGTTATTTGTAGAACACATTTTTAGGTTGCACGGGGTGCCATTGAGGGTGGTCTCAGACCGAGGAAAACAATTTACTTCCAGGTTCTGGAGGAAGCTCATGAGCTTACTGCAGGTGGAGGTCAATTTTCGACTGCCCGGCACCCTGAAACCAACGGGCAGGCGGAAAGAGCAAACGGTGTCCTCCAGCAATACCTGAGGTGTTATGTCAATGACAGAGAGAATGACTGGGTAGAAAAGTTGGCGCTGGCGGAATTTGCCTACAACAATGCCGAGAATGTGTCCACAGGGATGAGCCCCTTCTTGGCTAATTATGGGTGTCATCCCAGGGCTTTCCCAGGGGAGATGGGGAGAGATGGAGCGTCCCGGCAGCCGAGCATTTTGTGGAAGAAATGGAAGCAATCCATCGTCAGCTCCAACTCAACTTAGAAAGGGCGAAGGAAGAATACAAGAGGCAGGCAGACAAGAACCGAAGGGAAGGTGAAACCATAAGGGTGGGAGATAGGGTGTGGCTGTCAACCCAAGGGTTGCCGTTCAAAGGAGGTTGTAAGAAATTAAGACCCAGGAGGTTGGGTCCCTTTGAGGTCATTCAACAGGTCAACCCAGTGGCTTTCAGGCTCCGGTTACCCAACCACATGAAACTGCACCCAGTATTTCACAGGTCGTTACTGTCACCGTACGAAGGGGGACGAGAAGGGATGGCCACTCGGGGACCGGTCATAGAAGAAAGAGAATGCAGCAGCCATGTGGCAGAAATCCTCGACGCCAGGTGGAAGGGGGATCAGGTGGAGTATTTGGTAGCGTGGGAAGGAGAACCGAGTCAGAAAACACTTGGGTAATGGCCGAAGATATCAATGACGAGGTATTGATAGAAACGTTCCATCAAAGGTTCCCAAGGAAACCTCAGCCTGTGGAGAGGTTCCGGAGGGAATACTTTGGGACCACTGATGAGGAGGAGGAGTTGGAAGGATTCCCGGACTCGGAAGGGGAAGGGAGATGGACTCTGAGGAGGAGGAGTACTTCGAGACCAGGAACCGCAACAGGTGGAGAGAAGTGTTCGAGACATCGGAAGATGAAGGAAGTTCATTCCGGGGTTTTGCCTCCTCACCGCCCGTAGAGGAGGGGGCGAGAGGGGGTGAAAGGGGCCCTGGAGGGGAGGTGGATGTCAGGGAACTGCCATCGGAAGGAAGGGAGGTGAAAGGGCTCACACAGGTTGGGAGAGACTCAGCAGCTGAAGAGGGAACCAGTAGGGGAGAGGAGCTGAGCTGAGGGAAAGTGAGCTGGAGGGATGGCTCAGAGACACTTCCAGCGAAAACAGTGGGGAGGTTTCAGGACCTCCTGTAGGAACACCCACTCCTCGCCGGAAACTGTCACGCAGAGAGTCCAGAAGACGTGTTTCCGTTAAGGAGCTTTTATGTTGGAAGCGATCCGAAAGCAACCACTGTCGGAATCTGCTAGTGACTAGAGGAGCCATGTCTGAGGGGCTCCGTCACAGACAGAGGTTTGTGGACTTGAACAAACTCTGAGGGGATACTATTTTACGCACAAGCAGCTCCTCATCCCATCACACTACCCTATCTTTTTTTCTGCTTCTGCAAAATAAGAGAACAATTCCATCTATCTACCCCTGCCCTAAGCACCCCAACACACACACCCTGTTAAAAAAAAAAATCCCACCACCCCCTGCCCAATAGAGTCCATACCCTTCAAGGAAAATGTATGTAACAAGGTAAATCTGGGATAGCTCACTCGGCAGCGCATGAGACTCGTAATCTCAGGATCGTGGGTTTGAGCCCCATGTTAGGCAAAATATTCCTGCATTGCACAGGGTTGGACTACTAGATGATCCTCGTCGTTCCTTCCAACTCTACAATTCTGTGATTCGAAGATGTACAGTAGTACCTTGGGTTACGTACTTAATTCGTTCCAGAGGTCCGTACTTAACCTGAAACTGTTCTTAACCTGAAGAACCACTTTAGCTAATGGGGCCTCCTGTTGCCGCCGGAGCCAGATTTCTGTTCTTATCCTGAAGCACTATTTCTGGGTTAGCGGAGTGTGTAACCTGAAGCGTATGTAACCCGAGGTAACACTGTACTTGAAATAACCAAGTATTCCTTGGGACAGGGTTGGGGAACATTTTCCCTTCTGCAGCTTCTAAAATTAATCCATAGTCAGAACTACTACCTGCATTGCATGATTCCTTCAAAATCCCCAAAAGTGAGCATTGGAGAACTTTCTCTCATATATATATATATATGGGAGTCTCTTTAAGGTGAATGTACCAGGTCAACACCTGGCAATATCACAGAAACCAGAACGAAGCCAAGAAGTATTCACTTGTAAAATAGCAGGGCTTTGATGATATACATTGCCCTTTGCTCCTCCTCATAAGAAGAAGGAACATTACTTGGAGAAAGAACATAGCTCAGCAGCAGAGCACTTATTTGCACCCAGAAGTCCCCAGGTTCAATCCCCTGTGTGGGGTGGTGGTTTTCAAAATAATAAAATAGTGGGAAATGGAAAAGAACTTTCTCTTGTCTGAGATCCTGAGGCAGCCGAGGTGGATGACAGCAGACTCAGTGAGCAAACCGTCCGATGTGGTCTAAAAGCAACTTCATAGAATAAATTACTCCCCATAATGAGGCTTATATAACTTGACTTATAAGAGATATCTAATTTATCCTAACACAGAGTTGCATTGAGCGTTGGTCATACTCAGACATGGGGGCAGCCAGGGGGGCAGCTGCCCACCCCGCAGCATCAAATAAATAAAGAAATAATACTTAACTAAAAGTAGGAATAATCAGAATATTTGAAACTGAAATGCTTGGGTGATGTTGTGGCGCATTCAAGGAACACAACTGGCAGCTCAGTAGCTCGGTTCTGGAACAGGTTAGGTGGGAGCCCTGCCCTCCCAACATAAATACTGGTTATGACCATGTACTCAAGAGTAGACCCACTGAAATCAATGAATACGACTAGCTTAATTTCAGTGGGTCTACTCTGAGTATAACTTAGTTGGGTACAACCTACACATTTTTCATCTTTTAGTGAAGCAACAATACTATACTTCCCATTCCAATGTATCACACCACAGTTCTGTGCACCCTGTAATAAAGCTATTAAATAAAATTAAACTATTCTTCAAATACCTTAATGCTGTTCAAACCCTCAGTGTGCTAGCGATCTGTTCACTGGGAGCAGATGAATTTTGAAGCCCACAGAACAAACAATAAAAACACCTATTTTAGGGTCATGTAAAAATGCATAGCAATGTTGGGTTGAGTTTCTTCTTCTTCTTCTTCTAATATTGTATTTTACAGCAATGGCTTCCTTGGAGCCATTATGGCTTAAGGAGATCAATTCAGCTTTGGGGCTGCATCGCTTTCTAATTTCCAGAAACACATTTTATTTATCTGAAAGACCATATGGCTTATCGGGTAACTGTGTATACAGTATAGCTACAACAAATCCACAAGGAAGATAATATTTACCTAATAGACCATAACAGCACAGAATAACACAATATGGCCCCCTATTTGATTGTGCATTTCGGTACGAGCACATCCTGCCCATTTACAGAGCAAGCTATCACCCTGGTCAATCCATATTTAGGCAATTCAATTCAAAGTGGATTTCCAACAACAGAGAGATTAGAGGCATCCCTCGGATGCATTATGGCTCATGTAGTAATTTGGAAAATACTTTGTACATCACTGATAATTGACTCCAAAGGAGCTGTTAGGCTTTTATCAGTTAAACACATCCTTTTGATATGCAGGGTAAATTTGAAAAGCAAAATATTTGCTGAATAATTTACTACGCCAGACTAAGTGCAACACAGGCATCTAAGGGGGCTGGGGTAGACTTTATAGTGCATTATATTGTTATGAGTTTGTGGGTGCCTGACACCTATAATCCTAGGAAGTGTTAAAGCATAAAGCCAGGCAAGCTCCCTGCGTTGAGGTAATCGCCTGGGTGATGGGCCATTAAGACAGTAAAGGAAAGGGGGCTCTGGGCCAGACCGGAAATGGAGTGGGGTCCCTCCTCCAATTTTTAGATAGTTGGTAGGACAAAACCTGGGAGGGAGAGCAGAGTTGGCTGTGATGCCAGAAAAAGCTGCAGACTGGAAAGTCAGAGAGGCAGAGCGTGATGTTTGATTTCTGTTTGAATCCAAGGCTACAACCATGAAACAAGACCCTCTTGGGGTGTTAATGCTGTGAACCCCTCCATCATAGGCTCAGATTGTAAATATGTGTAAATACACCATACATCACAAAGACACTGCAGTCTCCCCTGTGCCCTATTCCCAAAAGGAAGCACCAACCCTGCATAAGCCCCTGGGACTCCTGAAATCCTGCACCATTGGGAGACTGGGCTGGGGTGCAAAAATATTTTGCCAACAGGGAGGGGATTGAGGCGGCGGTGGAGGGGAAGAATCCTATCCCACAGCTTATTCAGTGCAAAAGTGAATTGCGCAGGTTATGTCAGTCTTGCATCAAGCACCCATCATGAGGAATATGCTTGGTACCATGAGCATTTTGTTCATATAATCTGCTACCAGATGCAGAAACAGCCATCCTAATGATTTCTATTTAGATTTTAACAGCAAGGTTCTGGTCCTCAGCATTGCTAACATCACATGACAGCTCAGAAAGCAAATTCAGGTTTGGGCAATGTTTCCAGTTAGCTGGGCAGCAGCGCTGGGCATTGCACTCCAGCCCTAAAAATGGAGATCAGGAACCCAGTTTCCTCCCCAGTTCCCAAACACTTAGCAGCAAGAGCCCTGTGCGTGCCCTGCTGTATGCACAAAACCTCATATCAGAACTTTAAATGAATAAGGATCGATTACAGCTGCTGCCACAATCCTACTCCTCTTCAATGCATGCACGTACAGTTGTGTGATGGAAGTTTGAACCAGGAACCCCTTAGCTCACACCTCCAGTTTTGCACCATTGTACTACACTAGTTGGGACACGGGTGGTGCTGTGGGTTAAACCACAGAGCCTAGGGCTTGCCGATCAGAAGGTCGGCAGTTCGAATCCCCACGATGGGGTGAGCTCCCGTTGCTCAGTCCCAGCTCCTGCCAACCTAGCAGTTCGAAAGTACCTCAGAGTACAAGTAGATAAATAGGTACTGCTCCGGCGGGAAGGTAAACAGCGTTTCCGTGTGCTGCTCTGGTTCACCAGAAAGCAGCTTAGTCATGCTGGCCACATGACCCGGAAGCTGAACGCCGGCTCCCTCGGCCAATAAAGCAAGATGAGCACCGCAACCCCAGAGTCGGTCACGACTGGACCTAATGGTCAGGGGTCCCTTTACCTTTTTACTACACTAGTTGCCATAGCAGTGTTGACCAAAGATTTTCTAGCATACATTCCCCAAGTCAAATAAGAGACAGTATCTCTCTAGCACATACTTCATGGTATACCTGCAGCAAGTCACACACACACACTCACTCAACTATCCCCTAGGCCTGGAGGAGGGGGTGTCGTCCTACTCCTGCTTAAGCATGCTGCAAATTTCCAGGATTCCTGCTACTTGGGGCAACCATGCCATCAATTGGCTACCAACACTCTATTTATCCTCTTAAAGGTAAAGGGTAAAGGGACCCCTGACCATTAGGTCCAGTCATGGCCGACTCTGGGGTTGCGGCCCATCTTGCTTTATTGGGTCCTGTGGCCAGCATTACTAAGCCGCTTTTGGTGAACCAGAGCAGCACACGGAAACGCTGTTTACCTTCCCGCCGGAGCGGTACCTATTTATCTACTTGCACTTTGACGTGATTTCGAACTGCTAGGTTGGCAGGAGCAGGGACTGAGCAACGGTAGCTCACCCCATTGCGGGGATTCGAACCGCCAACTTTCTAATCGGCAAATCCTAGGCTCTGTGGTTTAACCCACAGCACCACCCGCATCCCGACTTATCCTCTTAGAGATGTCCTCTTAGAGATGCCCGTATCCAAATAGTTGCTTTAGAGCAGGTGTGAGGAACTTTTGGCCCTCCCGATGTTGTTGAGCTACGACTCCCATCATCCCTGGCCATTGGGCATGCTTTCTGGGCCTGATGGGAGTTGTAGTTCAGCAGCATCTGGAGGGCCAGAAGTCCTCTCCCCATGCCTTGCTTAGAGCACTTAAATGCAATTGAAAAATTCAAGGTCAGAACAGTACAACTGTGGATAGCTGGATCCAATAAACAGCATGCTCCTCTATGCATTCCAAATGTCAATACAAGGCCACATACTACTGTTATGAGGTCATTATTTTAAAAAAATGATGGAGTCAAGACTGCTGTGCAACTGAACCAACATTTTTGCACAGCGAGCTTGGAGAAAGTTGGTCTAAAGCAAGCTGCGATTCTCTTCCTTCCAACTCCACTCCCCCGCAAAAAGGAACCAGGGTAAAAAGGAAGACAAAATGGGCCTTCTCTTAGCACAGATTTCAGTTCAAGGGGGAAAAGCCACCTGAGCTCTCAAGCATTCGATAGGCCAAATGCAACTGGCAAGCACCGTTAGCAACCTTTCAAATAGGGACGGTGTTTCCAGGTGCAAGGAACAGAAAACAGAGGAATGCAATTGTTTGCATCATGTGTGAGCTCACCGACAAACAAACAAAATAAAGCTGCATTGAAGCTGTAAGAAACAAAATCTACAACACAGCACAGCCATAGCTACAGAGGGGTGGGTCTACCCGGGGGGTTTTTTGGCCCTGGATGAAGCCACCTGAGGGCAGCCACTGAGGCACCAGCCTATGTGTGCCTGTACACAAACGCATGTGGGAGTGTGCCAAACTGGGTCTTTGACCCGGGTGAAATAAAGCTTAGTTTCACCCTTGCACAGAGTTGGGCAATGCTTTGCTTAGGATCAAGCACAAAGTTCCAAAGCAGTGAGCCAGCATTCAAGTTCTCCAGAATTCTTCATCAGTCTGTATGTTAAGTAATGCAAGGGGGAAGAAGAAAGCGGGGTATTCAAGAAAGAACAAAAAAAAATGGATTGAAGTTGTCATAAGATGCAGACCTAATAATAATAATAATAATAATAATAATAATAATAATAATAATAGTTTATTATTTATACCCTGTCCATCTGGCTGGGTTTCCCCAGCCACTCTGGGTGGCTTACAATAAACTATTAAAATACAGTAGTCCATCAAACACTTAAAGCTTCCCTAAACAGGGCTGCCTTCAAATGTCTTCTAAAAGTCTGGTAATTATTGTTCTCTTTGACATCTGGTGGGAGGGCATTCCACAGGGCAGGTGCCACTACTGAGAAGGCCCTCCCTGTAACTTGGGTTCTCGCAGTGAGGGAAACGCCAGAAGGCCCTCAGCGTTGGACCTCAGTGTCCAGGCAGAACGATGGGGGTGGAGATGCTCCTTCAGATATACTGGGCCGAGGCCATTTAGGGCTTTAAAGGTCAGTACCAACACTTAGAATTGTGCTCGGAAACGTACTGGGAGCCAATGTACTGGGAGCCAATGTAGGTCTTTCAAGACCGATGTTATGTGGTCTCGGCGGCTGGTCCCAGTCACCAGGCTAGCTGCCACATTCTGTATTAGTTGTAGTTTCCGGGCCACCTTCAAAAGTAGCCCCATATAGAGCGCATTGCAGCAGTCCAAGCAGTAGTCCAGTAGTATGGAAACAAGGTTTGCTCCATCGTTCAGTCCACCCCAATTTTGAAGTATTTGTGGATTTTGGAGTACTAATCGATCAGAAATTTTTCTAAGGAATGATGCATTGCTGTTACTAGCATTCCAAGAAAAGGGGTGAATCAAAATCTCCTGATTTTACTACAATTATTTGGCTTCCTTTTTTCCACCTTCAGCCTCCAATCTTCCCCTTGAATATGAAAAACGAAAACATGAGATTGAAGGGAGTTTGGGAGCCATTGTCCTGGGATATCAGAAGCAGCAAAAATGTGCTTAAGCTGCCCTTGCTTTAAGACAGCTTTTCTCCACCCTGGTAGGAAACATGACCAGGCATAATTAGCTAGAGCTCATAGAGCACTTTAAAGATGAAAAGTACTTGTTAGTTTTTTAAATGTCTGAATTTCCTCACTTTGGTTTTAATTGGCTTGGTTCATAACCTTCAATGTTCTTTCCCTCTATTTTTGCGTGCACCTTATTTCTTCGTAGGCGAAATGAAAATGCATAATATAAAAGCCCCATGAATAACAAAACCCAGCACTCCAGCCTAGTGGTGTTTAATTAAAGTTGCTTGCCCACTCCTGCTTCGGTGATGCTTCTAGCTGCTCCCACTCACAGCTGCAACTCAAAAGAGAGCAACTTTAAAGGAAAGAGGGAGATGGAGAGAATATGTAGTCCTGGGTTTCTGGAAGGAGGAGGATGGCTAATTGTGCAAAGACCTGTACTTCTGGATTACTATGCTGAATTAAATATAGGGGACCTATACTAATATAGGGGACCTATACTAAATTTTATTGTTATGCTCATAGAGGGACACGGGTAGCGCTGTTGTCTAAACCACTAGGCCTCTTGGGCTTGCAGATCGGAAAGTTTGTGGTTCAAATCCCCGTGATGGAATGAGCTCCCATTGCTCTGTCCCAGCTTCTGCCAATCTAGCAATTCGAAAGCACGCCAGTGCAAGTAGATAAATAGGTACCGCTGCAGCGGAAAGATAAATGGCGTTTCCATGAGCTCTGGCTTATGTCACGGTGTTCCGTTGTGCAAGAAGCGATTTAGTCATGACCCAGAAATCTGTCTGTGGACAAACGCCGGCTCCCTCGGCCTGAAACAAGGTGAGCGCGGCAACGCCATAGTCGCCTTTGACTGGACTTAACCATCCAGGGGTCCTTTACCTTTTTTACCTATGTTCATACACTAGGGATTGGCAAATCTGTCAGTTCTGGTTTCTTGTTTTTTCAGTCTTAAGTTCAGCTCTCTACATTTTCACATAAAATTGTGAGGTTTTTTAAAAAGTTCTCATGAAAATTAATACTTGAGTACAAATTTCTCCTAATATACATTTTTCTTCAAGTAGTTTTCCCTAATATAAGGCGTTTTTATTTTTTACTGATCTTGATCCTGTGGCATGCCTTTTTGCATGCATTACTTGGTTGCAGAACTGCATTGTGAAATCGAAAGAAGTGAGTATTTCAAAGGATGTGCACATTTCGGTTCATGCGTATAGTGGTACCTCGGTTTACGAACTTAATCTGTTCCGGAAGTCCGTTCTTAAACCGAAACCATTCTTAAACCGAGGCACACTTTCCCTAATGAGGCCTCCCGCCACCGGTGCCCTTCCACCATTCGGATTCCGTTCTTAGACGGAGGTAAAGTTCTCAAACCAAGACACTATTTCTGGTTTTGCGGAGTTTTTAAACCAAATCGTTCTTAAACCGAGGTACCTCTGTAGTTTCAAGCCATACAAATAACGTAGATTTACCTTTAAATGAAAATTGATGCCAAGCCCACCCAAAGGAACTTGCATCTTTTTAAAAACCAGAGTGAGCGAGTGAGTAAATAACAACAACAATACGAAAAAGAGTTTTAATAGGTAATGACCCTGTCGTCCTATTAGCATTAGTGGTGGATTTATACTGGTCAAATTTGACAGCTGGGTGGGGCAACCCACCCATCAATCACTGACCTCATTACAACATCACATTGTCCCACCCACCTGCTGAAATCCCTTACTGTCAGGTACTGAGGAACCATAGCACAAGGGGCACTGCCAACTCTGAGCACAGAGGTGGCAGGGAGAGGAGAAAGAAGACAGCATTTTGCAAGCACTGGCTGAAGGCAGGAGAAATCTATCTTGTAGCCGATGCCTGCAAGAAAGTGAGACTTAGAACAGGGCTTCCCAAACTTGGGTCTCCAGCTGTTTTTGGAATACGGTGGTACCTCTGGTTAAGAACTTAATTCGTTCTGGAGGTCTGTTCTTAATCTGAAACTGTTCTTAACCTGAGGTACCACTTTAGCTAATGGGGCCTCCTGCTGCCGCTGCACGATTCCTGTTCTCATCCTGAAGCAAAGTTCTTAACCTGAGGTAATATTTCTGGGTTAGCGGAGTCTGTAACCTGAAGCGTCTGTAACCTGAAGCGTATGTAACCCCAGGTACCACTGTACAACTCATCATCCCTAGCTAGCAAGGCCCATGGTCCGGGATGATGGGAACTGTAGTCCAAAAGCAGCTGGAGACCCAAGTTTGGGGAACATTGACTTAGAACCTCCCTGCAGAAGCAACCCTTCCTTTCATATTCATGCTCTGAAAGCCCCCAAAGCGCTCTCTTCCAGAAAGCCACACTGGGAAATATAGCTGCTTGGTTTACTCCAAAACTGAAGTCAGCACCACACTTTAATACACATACATATATTTTAGAGATTTCCATATTCCCCTTCAGCAGAGCTTCCAGGGTGGTTTACAAAAATACATAATGTATAGATCTTGGTCCCAACCAGTATACATTAAGAGTAACACTATCATTATTCTGCTCTCAAAAGATTCCCAGTACCTCAAAACAAGGGTGGTAGAGCTGCAAGGCCAGCAGCCAGGCTAAGCCTGTCCATGTAAATAATCATTTTGTTGCTGCATCCCAAGCAGAGAACCTCACTGTCATCAGTCATTCCACTACAAAAGTCTAAAGCTAGCAATAGACAGAACAATACTTTCCCCACAGAGCAAAACTACTGTTCTCTGTGCTTTGTCTGACCCTGTTTTCTCAAGCTGTTAAAGAAGACTGCGGTATTACTGTATATTTATCTATATTCCATGAACAAACCACAAAGGTAGTTGCTAGGCCAGGGGTGGCTGCCCTGTGGCCCACCAGATATTGAGGGACTACAACTCCAGTCATCCCTGTCCAGTGGCCATGCTGGCTGGGGCTGATGGGAGTTGGAGTCAAGCAATATCTAGAGGGTCATAGGTTCCTTCATCCCTGCTCCAAACATACCAATAGAGCTGGGAAGAAAGATGGCGGACCTCTGCCTTCCTCCTCATTTTAGATCATCTCCAAGCAAGTGGAGTGCTCCAAAGCGAGTGCCCCACCCTCGTACTTCTACGTCATGGGTAGGCAAACTAAGGCCCGGGGGCCGGATCCAGCCCAATCGCCTTCTAAATTCGGCCTGTGGACGGTCCAGGAATCAGCGTGTTTTTACATGAGTAGAATGTGTCCTTTTATTTAAAATGCATCCGTGGGTTATTTGTGAGGCATAGGAATTCATATTTTTTTTCTTTTCTTTTTCAAAATATAGTCCGGCCCCCCACAAGGTCTGAGGGACAGTGGACTGGCCCCCTGCTGAAAAAGTTTGCTGACCCCTGTTCTACGTGTCAGCAAAAATGGTGGGAAATAGGGATGATATGTTTCTGGATAATATGTTTTGTTTTAATTTTGAATAATTTTTTTTTAAAAAAAGCTTATCTTGGGATGGAGATAAACATTCTCACCTGCTAATGGCTTCAGATTAATCTCCTGTGAAAGGCACAGCTGCAAAGTCCGGTTGTAAAGTTGGCGACTCTCCATCTGTGTTTTTAGGCCTGTGTGTGCACGCACACAGAGAGGAAGAGAGCAAAGTACTTTACTATACTGTTCAAAATAGCAGGAATGAAATGCAAAGGAGTGTTCTCAGCCCAAAAGAGGGAGCAGACAGAGGTAGTGCTTTTAGTGCTGAGAATTAGCACACATTTCCCCAGCATGCTAACCAGGTAAAACTAGGGATAATTCCATTTTCTAAAATACTGCCCCAGGAGTATATGAATAACAGGTGGATGTAAAACATGGCTAGCATGTAAGAAATCTCTGGCAGGGAGAGGGAAGAATGATGCTTTAATGAAGGTGATTGGTGGGGGTTTTTTAAAGGGGCTGTTTTCTGTCGCAATTTTGCTTTTTGAGTCTGAATGCTACTGTAAAGTAAGAACTCCGTTACCAAGCCTTTCATGGTGAAAAGCAAAACTCCAAAGTACAAGCCCAAGTTGCGAGCAAGTGCAATACCTGAAAAGACTTCCACCTGAATTTTCTCGCACAATAATTCCGCTGCAGCATGTCAAATATTCATTCCACAGTCCTACTAAAGTACAAATATTTGTTTTATCCAGTGCCTACCTGCTTAAAAACCATTTAGCCCTGTTGTGGTAATGAATACTAATGTGCCTTATAAGTGATATTTATAGCCAACTCTAGGTGGGCCTACAAAATATTCCTTTCTGGCAAATCTTTGTAGTATGCTGTTCTCCTCCATTTCTTTTTTTAAGTTTAAAAAAGAAAACTGGGGGAGGGTATATGACTCATGCAGAAATATACATATATATGTGCTAGGTTTCCAAGGGCTCTTATAGCCATTTCAGCCCATTATTGTGCAGCTAACAGAATTGAAAGGAAAAGCAACAAAACGGGATATTTGGGCCAATGGCGACAGCTACCATTATTCAACAGTAGAAGCATGTGAAAAGTTAAAGAGGGTTTAAAGGGATGTTCTTTTGTTGTACTTAACACTGATAAATGACATACAAGTCAGGATAACAGGGCAGAGCTCCTGTCAGGGAGACAATGATAAACGAGAAGCCCGAGACAGAAAGGTCTACTAAACAGAAATCTGTATATGACACATTTCTCGTTGATAGACTTGTCTGCACGGACCAACTAACCCAACAAAGCTAAGATTCTCTATCCGGCCACATTCTTCGCTGAGTCCATCGTGCACAGTGACCCATCTCTTGTTGGGGTTTTTTCTCCCATTTCCTTGAGGCAAGGATGATCAATTGACCTTAATGAGGGCAGCGGTGCCAGCCTCAGAATTGTGGCTCTCTTGCAAAATATGACTGGTACCCATTTCAGGCGGGTAATCATAAAGCAAAAAAATGAACCCCAAAGCAAGAAAGCCTTGCCGTTATTACCACTGCCCGAACAATCTCATTCCTCTTGAAAATACTGTTTGATATAAAAAGCTTTGCCTCACAGGGAGGAAAAAATAGTCATAATAAAAACCCTATTCTTTATGAGTGGGGGAAAGGCACAAGAGCTGTGATTCATGGACTAGAGCGACATAAGTCTCTTGCTCCTGAACTCGCAGCAGCCTACATCACACAAGACATCTTTATCCCCACAAAGAGGAAAGACGAAGAGGGGAACGTGACAATAGGGAGACAGCCGCAAAAAGACGTTTCTGTCACCCGTTTATAGCAGTCAGAAAAAGAATACCCAAGAATAATCACACATAACATTGCCTTCTTAATAGATCCCTTGGTTTCTTTCTCTGTCTTCCGGTTTAACGGTGTTTGTCACTGAAGAATAAATGTTATCAGGTAATGGACATTGAAGGAGGGCACTAAAGCTGAACAGCTCTCAAGGAAGGAGACCCTAAGATGTTGAGGAAAACACGCTTTATACAGAACTAAAGGCATTCTGGTTGGGGAAGTACTTTGATGGTCATCTTAGTCCGGGGACGGTTTACACGTTCTTCCTTCAAGGATTATGATCACTGAATCATAGAATTGTAGAGATGGAAGACATACTGAGGGTCATCTAGTCCAACCCCCTGAAACGCAGGAATCTCAACTAAAGCATCCATGACAGATGGCCGTCCAATCTCTGCTGTTGTTGTTGACTTACCTGCCCCAGAACCTCAAACGTCACAGGGGAATTCTAAAGTGCACACTCCATCCATGGAGGGCGCTTTGCGTTGGCTTTAGAATACCCCTGCGGCCTGAAGTGGTACAGTCCAGGAGAATAAACTTTGCCACTTGACTCTGCTGACTGCAAAAACCAGGGGTGGGAAACCTGTGGCCTTACAGATGTAGTTGTAGTCCAGCACTATCAGCTCCAGCCAAGTATGCAAATTGTCCCTAAACCACTGACACATACAAAGTATTCCAGTATACGTAAAGCTAATATCGGGAGAAGGACTATAGACTACACTAGGCAAATAAGACATACTTGTCTGCCTCCTCTTAGATTGTAACATGTTCAGATGAAAAGAAAACACCACCTTGGAGATTTAAAGCAAACATTCATTGGAGATTAGGATAACTGGGTGTGCCAGAGGTTAATTAAATTATTTGCAAGAATTTATTTGTTGTTGTTGTTAAAATTTATACTCCAGCCTTTCCACAAGGAGCTCGGCATGGTGTGCAACATCTTTCCAACCTCACATTTGATTCTCACAACAACCTTGGCAGGTAGGTTAAGCTGAGAGAGTGTGGCCCACAGTCACCCAATGAGATTCATGTCTGAAGAGGGATTAGAGTCTCTCCGCAGTGTTAATCCAACACCAGTCACCACCCTGTCCTGGCTCTTTTATTTCTAAATCAGGCATGGCCAAACTTGGCTCTCCTGATGTTTTGGGACTACAACTCCCATCATCCCTACCTAACAGGACCAGTGGTCAGGGATGATGGGAATTGTAGTCCCAAAACAGCAGGAGGGCCAAGTTTGGCCATGACTGTTCTAAATTATGTCATAATTAGGTATTGACATAGTTCTGAGGTCTCAGGGAGAACTCCTGAAGCTGCCTTCAAGTCAGACCATTTGAACCACTGAGCCCAGAACTGTCTACACAGACTGGCAGCATCTCCCTGGAGTATCAGAAGAGAGTCATTTCCCAAGACCACCTGGCAATGCCAGCAATTGGGCCTGGGGCTTTCTCCATGTACAAGCGTGTCCTCCATTACCACCAAGCTATGACCCCTTCCCAAAACCTTTTAGAAATTGTCAGGTATTCTACACACTGCATGGAATGAGGCGGCAGAGTGACCTTGGAAAATTCAAATAAAAATTTTCAGTCTGAAGGCGTATAGCCCAGAACTCTAGATACCCTTCCATTTGCTGTAATGGGTACAACCGCTCTTACACAAAGCTCTGTTCTCAGCGTTTGTTAAGAAAATGGCTGCAAATGAAAACACCCATCCTGCGATGCTGCTGAAACTATTTGCCCCTTTCTTCCTGGCTGAGGGAGAAGTTTATAGTTTGGGAAGAGAGTGTCTGACTTGGCCTCTAGAGTAAGGTTACCATGGGTTGAACAGAGTTTTAAAATCTCACCCTGGTAGCAAAATTAAAAGCATAGGAATTAAGCTGCTTGTTTTCAGCAAGTCCAGCAACAAAGTAAGATGGCTTTCCCCCTGTCTACCCTGCTTAACAAAGAATCAGGCAACAACCTGGGAAGGAAGCTTAAAAAATAAGATTTACTTACTTTGCAATCGTGCATTGGTTCACAGCAATGGCAGCCATGCAGGCAAAATACCTATATTTACAGGATAACCAATTCCAGGCCCATGTGCCTAAAGCAGGAGCAAGCAGAGATCTGCAACCAAAGTTGGTCAAAGGAAGAGAGAGAGAGAGGAACAGGAAGTGCTACATACTCCTTCCTCTCCAGGAAAGGAGGGAAATGACATCACACAGAGCCCTTTCCGCCACTTGTATTTCTGTGGTCTGAGTATCTGCCTATCAGCTCTGTGGAATTAGCCCCTTCTCATGTTAACTAGCAAGAATATGCATTTGTTAGGTTTGTCTGCTAATCCCCCACAGTGAGGGACAAGGCAGCAGGCATGGGAATGCCAGATTGGCTCAGCTGGTGCACCAGTAACACCTGCAGGACCCAAAAATTCCCTGTCCCTGATCTAAATAATGTCTCACACCTGCACTTGCTTTTCCTCAGTACAGTGGTACCTCGGGTTACATACACTTCAGGTTACATACGCTTCAGGTTACAGACTCTGCTAACCCAGAAATAGTACCTAGGGTTAAGAACTTTGCTTCAGGATGAGAACAGAAATCGGGCTCCAGCGGCGCGGCAGCAGCAGGAGGCCCCATTAGCTAAAGTGGTGCTTCAGGTTAAGAACAGTTTCAGGTTAAGTACGGACCTCCAGAACGAATTAAGTACTTAACCAGAGGTACCACTGTATAGTCCTTTCTGCAGCAAAAGTCCCAGTCCATGTGAATTTCAGTTGGACTACTGTGGAGCAAAGCTGAACTGCTGATTGCAGGCTGAATTATCCATCTCTTCCACATGTAATATTCTGCTGTTAGGTTGCAACTTTATCAAGTTTTCCGGGCCTGGCGATTTTTATCACAAGTCTTAGGATGGAGGGGGAGGGCTCAGAGCCTAGAAATGCAAGATTTGAGATAAGCCATCACATTCACAGTTTTCATTTGATGCTTTAGTTATCTTGGCGACAAATAGATATTGGGGAATGTGATTGGAATGCATCTTAAAGGTGCAAAAAAAAAAAGTCCACCACCCACTCCAAAACCCCAAAAGATAAAAGGAAAAATGAGCTCTTAAAAAAAATATCACAGCTTTATTTTGTGGATGTTCTTTTTCACTATTGGCAGGTGGTGCACTGGCTCAAAATTACCTATGTCATCTTAGCTGCCTGATAAAGAAATTGTCTGTAGATTTGATGGGAAACTGCCTTGTCAGTCATGGTGTGTGTCTGTCTGTCTTGCTTTCCTTGCTGTATCCTCTTTAATGCTCTGAATCTCGCAGAAGTTTTATCATCAGAGGAAATGGAATTTCTCTCCAGCCTTTAGAATACGAAAAGTACAGCATGCTAAAAGCTTGCAGCCAAAGAACCGTCTCTTTCATTCAAATCAATATATGAAATTTGGCATCTCACAGGCTCTTTTAAGGTTCACAATTCAGGGTGAATGGCAAAATCATCCCTTCCGTGTAACTCTTAAAAGCACAAGAGGTGCTCAAGGTCTAGATTTAACACATTTCGGCTGCAATCCTGTACCCATTTACCTGGGAGTAGGCCCCGCTGAACTCAATTAATTTCATGAGCAGGCAGGTACGAGTTACATTGTTACCATGTGGCCCTGTTTTTCCCTCTCGTAAGCTCAATGAGACTTATTCCCAGGTTAGTATGCATAGAACTGTAGCCCTAATCCCCTCACCTCCATAGGCCACAGTCTCCAAGCGTTGTCCTCTGACCTCTTCCATTGATCTAATATATCTCACTCCATTACGTCCCCTGCCTGCCCCATTGCTTTAGCTACCCTGCTCAAAAGTTCCCATTTTCAGTGTGTGAGCTTTTCACTGGAAAGCGGAGAATGAGAATGAAGCGTAAATCAAGAAAGATATTTTTCAAAAATATATTAATCGGTAATATACTATGCAAATTAAATATGGGCTCAGTCTTTAGTCATTCCTTGGAGAGCAAAAGAAATTCTACTTTACGATTTCAGTGTTAACATTCACATCAAATTAGAAAATTGGAGCTTTTCACCGGAACCGGCTACAGCATTCCTAAAAGCAAGTATAAAGAAGAAATTAATATTTTACATTGCAATTTGGTGCATATTCATCTGGGAGAAGACCTGCTCACTAAAGAGTACAATTTGCCTTTATACAATTTAATTTAATGAACTGGCATTTGAAACATTTCTTAATCCAAGCTCAGCCTTAACTGGCTGTGATAAATAGAAACCTGCGCATACAGGTTTAGAGCTTTGGTTTGGAGGAAATAATGGCCACTGAAGGGGGAAATCAAGCAAGACAATTTATAGTGGTAAAAATAATAATAATAATAATCAAACATTAATTCTAATCTGACATCCCAATTGTAAATATTTGCACTGGTGTGTTTGCCTGCAGCACTGGAATAATGTATGGTTGGGGATGCAATGGCATTATAGCATTTGGCACAACCCATTCATAGGCGAGGGACTGTCACTCAGTAGCTGGGCACAAGCTTTGCATATAGAATGTCTTGGGTTCAGTAGTGCCCATTGGGTCTGATAGGGTAGAATGCAGGGAGCCCAGCAGTAGGTGGCGCCAGAGCCAATGCCAGACATTCTAACTTTGTCCCCATACTGTACTTGGTTCCACAGGGGCAACACTGAGACTATGGAGGAGGAAGCTGGCATCCAATGCCATCCCCCTGCACTGGATGGAAGTAAGCAGGCAGGCAGGTGGGGGCAACTGTGGTTGGTGGGGCAGTTTCCCATTCACCCCAATGGACCAGACTCCACTACTTGCAGCAGGTGGTGTGAAAGACCTTTCTCTGACCTGCAGCTGCCAGAGTAGACTATACAGGGGCCAGATGGACAAACCAGTTGACCTAGCAGAAGGCAGCTTCCTACTCTCAATTTATACCAGCCCAGCGAGTGATGTCCTTGATAGATACTGAAGCACTTCAGGAAATGAGGTTATGATCCAGCTAAAGTTAGTAGGAACTGAGGCTGCAATCCTAATGTTGCTTAAACTGGAAGTGATCACTGTTGAATTCAGGAGGACTTTTCCCTCTGGGACTAGACATCCTTCTGGTGGTCCACCTGCCCACTAGGAGCCAAAGCAGCCACAGGTTGGTTCCCAGGTGTCAAGAGGAAGAAAGGAAGCTGTGCACAGCACTGCAAAAAACTACCCCACCCATTTCATGGGAGGAAAATGCATCTCCTACTATTTGTCTGCTCAAAATCACCTCTTCCAGCCTCCTGGTATATGGGGAAAATACACATTTTTTCTCTGTTGAAAGACAAACAGGTTAGGAAGGACATTTTTTAAACAACAACCTAGAGAAAAGTCAACATCTGTATACAATCCAAGAAACCTTAATTACCATGGAAGAGGGTGACAATGGAGTGTTTCAACACCTCTCTTGTACTCTACCCCTACTTCAAAATGGTAGGGGTACTTCCCTGTCACCTGTAAAGTTGAAATTTGGTACACATTTAAATCAAGCCCCCTTGTTTACTAGAAAAATCTGAAAATGAGACATTTTAATACCTATCAATTGAAGCTGACAGCTAGAGGACACCACACAAGCAGGGAGTCGCCAAGACCACATATGGAGTGAAAATTTGGCCTGAGGTAGTTCTGTTGTTCGTTGAGAAAGTATTGGAGAGATTTCCCTTAGCAGCCAAGCACACATATCCACAAATGCGAGCTGAATTTACTAGTATTTTATATTTATCTTCAGGTTTCCACATTTGGCTGGCTATCATATTTTAAAAAGAAAAGGGCTGGAGTCCTTGTCAGAGGAATCCTTCTCTCCAGGGTGAAGAAAATTACTTTTTTGCCATTTAGGATTGATGAAGATTTGGTGGGTGCATTCCGCTGTGTGGAAGAAACAACTACACAATTTACAACTTGATATATTCCTTTGTTATTGGTATACGGAGAAAGAGAAAAGGAAATGTACATCAGCAAGAAATACAGCTTCATTATCAAAAGATGACTTGTTTGCCAAAATAATATTCTACCTCTCTGAAATACTGTCACTATAAGTGCTGGTCCTTAACTGAGTTGGGGCTTTGGTTTCCAACATGTGGGCACTTGGAACTAAAATTTGCCAAGCTTCACATGCAAAAACAAATTGCGAGTGTCCCTGAGTATAAGCAGAGTTCTTTTCCCAATGATTATTTTTTTAAAAATAGACCTAGGTGGGAAATGGCCCTGAAGATGTGCAGAGTATCTTTTCTTTGAGAAGGGAATGATTATTTGCCTACCCAGAAGGAGCGTCTCCACCCCCATCGTTCAGCCCGGACACTGAGATCCAGCGCCAAGGGCCTTCTGGCGGTCCCCTCATTGCGAAAAGTGAGGCTACAGGGAACCAGACAGAGGGCCTTCTTGGTAGTGGCGCCCACCCTGTGGAACACCCTCCCATCAGATGTCAAAGAGATAAACAACTACCTGACATTCAGAAGACATCTGAAGGCAGCCCTGTTCAGGGAAGTTTTTAATATTTAACGCTGTACTGTTTTTAACACTTGATTGGGAGCCGCCCAGAGTGGCTGGGGAAACTCAGCCAGATGGGTGGGGTATAAATAAGAAATTATTATTATTATTATTATTATTATTATTATTATTATTATCATCATCATCATCATTTGGATATGCTGCAGGGTATTCTTTTCATTGAAGAATGAAGTGGTCACTCAAAGGAAGGGTGAGCCTCAGTTTCTCCTCTGGAGTGGCTGGCATGTTCTGGGGGGAAATGCATACACATGGTCTGGCTGAATGCATTGTCCAAAAGTAGATCACCCAAAATGTTAAAATGACTTGCCTGGGGTTTTTTGGGGGGCGGGGGGAGGATTTTCATCCTCTAGTTCCAACAGTCGATTAACAGAGTGAAATCCAAGCTGATAAAATTCTGACCATTTGGTAACCCTGTCTAGAATATGTGAACGAATGAGAGAACGGCCTCTCTGGGCATGTTTAATTTGCTTTCTCCTTACCAGTGAGAAATTGCAATCCCAGCTCCCCAAACCATGCCCCAACACACATCTAGGATCAGTCAGGGGCTGGCTTTGAGGTCAGGCAATGCAGCTTCCATACAGAGGCTGAGCAATTTATTTGAATTTATCCCATCCCATCCCATGACCTCAGAGCAGG